CGGAGTCCGCCACGCCCGTCATCAGCCCCGCAGCGCGCGCCGGTCTGTCAGCTCAGCCGGTGGCGCCGCGCCGGAGCCGTGGACCGACGCCGCCGGGCGGGGAGCGCCGCGACGGACCTGCCGCCTGCCCGGCACCCCGCACCTAAGGAGGCGTTCACACCGCCCGCGGCGACCCAAACGGCATCTCTCACCTCTCACCCCGCCACTAAATGAAACAAAACTTCAGTCACCGTTAGATCAGCTGACCTGGATTCGGTCGTATTTGGATAGGTTGACTCGTTACTTGAAATCCTCTAAGACGGGTTTGGTCTGCAAGACTGGGCACAATTCAATAACAATGATGAATGTCTCTTGGCGATCGTTGTTGTCGGTGTGAACGCTGCATTAGTCCTTGCCCCTCACCCACCCTGACCCTTACCCACCTCACACCAGCAGTGTTCTGCTGGCTGCAACAAAGTAACATATTTGTCCTGAATGGAAAGTACGAGGCGAAGACGGACTTTGGAATCAAAATTTCATTGTTATGATTTTCTTTAATTATAATTTTCTTTACTCTTGGGGTTTATAAATTTCTTGCAGGGGTAATATGTTCATTTGATTTTTTCCCAACAAAACATGTTGAGAATTTGTATTTTGATTACTGTATGCTGTCATGCACAAGACACATTTCATAAGGAATAACATCTTGTTTTTACGTTAAAACTCAATGTTTCGCAAAGAAAGATGTCTCAAGTGCTAAAGCACAATGACAAAAAGGGATACATTTTATAGGATAAGCAACATGCATTTGCTACAAAAACTGGGATATCTGCAAAGCTCAGATAATTTTAAAATGCTCTGCATAATGAGGGGATTCAAATATAATTTCGAGGTATTGAAAATACACATTGCTTCGGAGACGTACACTAACACACGACATACCAATGTTAACTGCCATGGAACTTGGAACGACCATTTACCAGTGCTCAACTGTTTTTTTCAGGTGGGCACCTCGCCACCTTGTTTGTGCTTTGCTGTGCTGTGTTGCTGTGATGTATGTGTGCGACGCTGGTTTCGGATAATAAATCGTTTGCTGCGGGGCCAATGTTTGGTCTACCTCCTCCATTTCTGGGTATTTCATAGAGCCTGTTCAGGAAATGTGATGGAGAAAAGATTATCTAGCTCAGGTCATCGGCATTCACATATTCACATTCATTCACATTTTGTTCATTTGACATGGCCTATAAATAGATACAGACGCATGATCGGAGCTAGCAATCTTATCTCTACAGTATTGTTATCTTATAAATGATGTAATCGACAATACCTGTAAGGAGGCACGAGAAGCCTTGGGGGATGTATCAACCAGTCATTTTTCTCCACTTCTAGATATTGTCAAAATGTTGGCTTCAGCTTTTATTAAAACCTCACCTACTAATCATCGAATTAGCCCCTTGTTGGTTTTTGTTTCAAGCAACAAACTAACCTCAAACGTTTCCAAACATTGCACTGTCCTGGAGTGGCAAGAAAAGTCTGCGAAGGTACATTTCCAGTGGCAGCTCTGCAGCAAAAGCGTTTGTGTTTGTGTACATTGTAAACTACACACGAAGCATCTGAACGGAACTAAAACGGCCAACAGCTGTCTGAGAATGCTCAGCCGGACCGACATCATGATTAAAAATTCCAACTGTGGAAGTATTGTGCCATTAAATTTTGGGAACTTTTCCACATAGCATACGCCAGCAGTTCAGTCAAAAAGCACAAAATTTTCTATTTCGTTAGCAATTGAAGCACCTCGGTTTCCTTTTCAACGCCAAGACAGAGCACTGATACGGCACAATAGTCCCAGCAAACTTGCTATATTGTATTTGCTATATTATATTAGGTATAATTAAATGTAAATATTCTTGAGTAAAAAAGGAAACAAGAATGTATCAGAGCTGTCTTGTTCATTTCTTTCTAATGGATAAGCTATCAGTGACCCCGAAAGCTGGGAATCGCACCTTCCTAAACGGGCGATAGTGTCTTGCAGCACAGCATGCGGCAGGCGGTGCGTCTCAGAGTCATCTAGTGGCGAGATTACAAACTGCCGGTGCTCTGCGGCGCAGTATGCATCAGGCGCTTTATCCTAGAGACCTCTAGTGGCGTAACCTCAAACTATCGATGCTCTGCGGCGCAGCATGTGTCAGGCGGTGAGGCGTCTCGGACGGCTATTGGTCGCGGGAGGCGCGGGGGACGGCGCCGGCCACTGCCCGCTGCCTGCCGGCCAGGTCAGGTCGGGTCGAGTGGCCGGCGCCGCGTCGCCCGGTCTTGCCAGCTGGTCAGCGCCAGTGTATCTCTCTCTTTCCCGTCAGCCAGGTCGTCACAGCAGGTGCGCGAGGGTGGCGTGACGGGGCCCGGCCGGCGGCTGGCACGAAGGACGTCCGCCATAGGTCTAGTTGATCGTTCCCCTCGTACATATAAACATCCCCATATTCCACATCTCTGCTGTTCACCCAGTCACTACGGCGCACTCAGTCATGGCCGCATATGAGTGTCGCTCGCGTCTCTAGTGTGTGAGTGGCGGCGGGCGCGGCGCGAAACGGATCGTCCGCCCCACGCCACTGCAGCTCTAGTGTTATTATTATCGAACCATAAAAATTGTTCGGTTATACGGTCTAAAAAAATGAAGTACTTTTATATTAACAACTCGGGCTGTGACTATGGTCAGGGATGGATGCCTGTTCGCGCCGCGCCAATCATAACTGCTAAGGCTTTCTGATGCGACCGCTCAAATCCTTAGATTAGAACACTTGGCATTTTTTGATAGAAACGTTACAGCACAGCGGTAGTAATAAAAAGGACAATTGCTTCAAAACTCGCAATTTTTCTTTTGAAATTGACGACAAATGGAACCTTAAATGCAAAAAAATAACGCTTAAAAATTAGTCAAAACATTTGTTTCTATTATGATCGTGATACTGGTTTTATTTGTTTTTTTTCGGGCGCAGCAGAAAGCCTTGGTATTCATCTTATTGCAGTTTGTTGTGCATCGACTGATGGCAAATGATCTCTGGTATACTAACCCAAAATATCTGGACTGTCATTTTGATTGACTTTGAGTTCCCAGCTGGCTATCCACTTCTACGCCTTTTCTCATCAAGTCCAAAACATGTTGACGGGTCCAAGTCTTTTGGGTGTTGTGTCCCAGAGTGCATGAGTTTGCCCCTACATAATGTCGTATGATTGAAAAGTATGCCAGCGTACTTCCCCTCAAAATTCATTGCTTTCCAAAAGTTAATCTTTCTAACTCGAGGCTCAGGCGTTGCGACCTTTAAGTGACAATAGTTTGTCGCGCCTAGTTCGCCGTTTGGAGTGCGTCTCACTTCACTGTGCCGTTTCATGAGAGAACATATATCCTGTTTGGTGCCCAATCGCTGCTCACCGCGGCTTTGCACAGATCACTTGCGCTTGCAAAGTTGCTGAAAAGCCAGTACCGATGCACCACTACAACCGTGCGGTTGGCTTTACTTTCCCTTAGTCTGTCTCTGAACTAGCCCGTGTGCTCGTATTTATTTATCGGGGTACTGACGGAGTTTATGTGTTCTCAGTTCGGCATGTTCGAATGCCTGATCTCGGCGTTTGTAGACGAGTTCCCGTGGCTGAGACCTAAGAAGATCCTCTTCACAGCAATGATGTGCTGCATCCTCTTCTTGCTGGGCATCCCGTGCGTGACCAACGTAAGTACCACAGCTGCTGTTTTGATTCCAATCTTATTTCCAAGCCTAGTATCACGCAAGTCGAAAACACATTCGAGCCCGAGTGCTCACTTGAACCGGCCCATAACACTTCGTTGATTATTTGAGAAGCTTTAGTTGCCTGTAGTTTACTGAATCGCAATTTTGTCTGCGACACATCTCTATTAGACGTTGAAATGCGTCTCATTCCAGTAATTATCATGTCTTATAACCACCGTTAGTTACTGCCTGCACCTTCACATCTACGACGTCCCCGCGTCCTTCCCCAGGGCGGAGTGTACGTGCTGCAGCTGATGGATTGGTACTCGGCCGCCTTCTCCCTGATGATCGTCTCACTCCTCGAGTGTGTCGTCATCGCATGGGTCTACGGTACGCTTTCTCAATAAATGAGTGGCCTCGAAATGTATTATATCTAAAAGATGTAATGCCTTACAAGAACGTAATCCATCTAGCAATGCAGCCATCCTTTTTGGCTTTTTTGATACAAGTTGTTCGTGTTTTGTGTTGAAATAACAAAAAGTGTTTCGCCTCAACAATATTTCGGCTGTATAATGTATATGAATAACTGGATTACTGTCTCATCCCGCAGGAGAGGAGCGTTTCTCGCTGGACATTGAGATGATGGTCGGCCACAAGCCGCACAAGTGGTTCCGCATCTGCTGGAAGTACATCTCTCCGATGGTGATCTGTTTCATCCTGCTCTTCACCTTCATCAACCACGAGCCGGTGACCTATAACGGCGTCGAGTACCCGGGCTGGGCTATCGTCATCGGCTGGCTGATGGCGCTCGTATCCATCGCCGCCATCCCCACCGTCGGAACCGTGATGATGATGAAGAAGCAGGGCACATTCAAGGAGGTGAGGCACATTCGGAACGAGCGTTACGATATTTTGATAATATAAGTCAAGGAAAATGGAGTTTTTAGACGGGGAAATCTTAGGCCGTAATGAATTAAGGTGAGATTTTCGCCAAAATCAGGCTCTTGAAACGAGAATCTCTAAAAATGTGCTGCTAAAATTACCAACCGACTTTGACAGCTGACCAACCTAACGTCATTTTTCTCTCTCTCCAGCGGCTGTTGCAGTGCCTGCGGCCTGACCCGCTGTGGGGCCCTATCAAACAGGAGAACCGCGTCCTCTACAGAAAGTCGCTCGAGAAGCACGCGTCGCGCTTCAAGCAGCTGCACGTATCCGGTGTGGACCGGATACCCAGCGGCGCCAGCCTGAGCAGCGCCGGCAACGAGATCGAGTGTCTGAACACTGACGGCGACCTGCACGTGTAACCCGCCGCCGTATCGCGGACCAATCGACAGACGTCTAACTGACGCGCTAGGGGAGGGAGGGGAGCTGTGGACGCGCTAGGGGAGGGAGGGAGGGAGGGAGGGGTGGGAGCTGTGGAGAGGCCGCGTGGACAGGGTGTGGGGGCGACTCCCACTGAGCGCTCTTTCTACTGTGCTGTGCTCTCGGAGCGCGGCGCATCTCGTGTTCCGCGCAGTGTGTGTCTGTATGCGTGTCTGCGAACATACATCTGTGTGTGAGGACTGGCTGACAGGACAGTCGTGTGGGTGATGGGTGAGTGTGTTCGCTGTATATGACAACGGTCGTCAGGTGAGGCTGGGGGGTGGCAGAAGAGTAGCTCCAAGCCATTATTACGTGTTATGACAGTATAGCCTAGAAGCAGGGACCTTCTATGACAGGCTCCTTTGTAGGCAATAGAGGCCAAACCGAGTTTCTGTTGGGAACTACTCACTGCTGGTCGGATATTTTTCACGGCACAGATCTTTGACTTCCGGTATCTTGCAATGCAAAATGTCCGTTTATGTTGCTGTCCCGCCTGCTTTTCTGTAGATTTTTTTTTTTTTGTTAAGTAACGCCTTGTCATATGTTGGCCCTGCTGGTATGACTGGGATTAATTGTTTTGTACCCGATGTGAATTGCTTTAAGTAGACTATCGTATTTGAAATGTTTGGTGGAATCGCATGCCTTGGTGAGAAGTTATCAGACTCTGAAATGTTTAAGCCACAAATTGCTTATATCATCTTGTCGCGTTGGTGTTTTTGAGTTCAGAAGTAGCCACTTAACTATGTTTTAACAGAAACTGATGCTAATATTTATGATTGGTCATTTCACGAGTCGTGACCTGTCTTAAATGCCTTTGTTTGCTTTACGTAAAGCATCGTGCCAAATAAAAAAATGCGCATGCTTTGCCTTTTCGACTATAAAAGATCTCTCGACGCAGTCTGATATTGTGGCATTGATAAGTGTACTTTATAGCTGGTTGTGTAGTGTTTCGAAGCAATATGCCCTGCTGAGTTGATAAGAGATGTCTCGGTTTCCGTACTTAAACAGAGTATAGCAGCTTTTGGTGTAGAACTACAAATGCATGCCAGCTTTACCTGCGATAGATCAGTCCTTCATTTGCGCGGAGACAAACAGACAAACCCAATACCAGTAGCTTTTTCCAAAGGACCTGAAACATTAACTGTCACAAGCTGCATTGAACCACTTGAACTTATTAATTTGATCATTAATTTGATTTATGATCATATTATTCAGCTTATAATGATCCCATTTGTTAGGTGTAATCCACAACGCTGATCATCCGCGCTTCGATGTATGGTACTGAGCTCACAGAAGATAAGTAGATAAAGCTGAACTGCTTTTTCGAAATTATTTCTGCCCTTTTGTTCTCTATCTGATCAATGCTTGCCAAAATCCAGGGCATTCAATCGCATGCTGCATCTGCGTTGCCAGCCGTTTATGTACACCCGGAATGAATGTGATGATTGTCATTGCCATTTGTCAGCTGCACAATGCACAATGTCAATGAAATATATGAGTGAAACGTAGAATGAGTTCCGTTTCAACTGGCCTGAGAGGGTACCGAGTTGTGTTTTATTGGATTCTCATCGGAGCTATGTGTTTATGATTTGTTGGATATGCTAAACATAAATATGTATGTAATAGTATGGACGACGAAAGTGGTAGCTTTGTAAAATGCTATCAATTAGGAGAAAGGTATATCTGTATCTATGAAAGGTCTGTCTATTGGCCCGAATACGTCCACGTGCATAATTGCCAACCGGTGACTGTAAATTAATTAGGCAAGCTATAAAATACAATTACGATTCGATTTCTAGCCAGTTTAAATGTTCTAACCAGACACCAGTAACCAATAATTGCGACATAAGTATGTACCTATGGCTGCTAGAGAAAATGCGTGAATGCATATTAGAAGCTCCGATACATCATGCTCCTGTGCATAGACCGAAACGTATCGTTTAAGCAAAGTTTTGATGTCATTTTCTAATCACCTTTATGCGTGATTGCTGCTTACTACAGTTATGCTTTGTGATTAATTATAAGTGATTATGCAGATTATTATGCATAAGCATATGCTTACACGCCCACTGTCCTGCAGCATTATGTACTGGACAAAAGTTCAATAAAACATTTACCTTGATTTTTTAACTCCATAAGATGCTTTGAAGCCCGCTTGCCGATGCTCTACTGAATTCACCTATTTTCGGTCTCTAATTATCTGCCAGCTTTTTCAGTTTTGTCGTCGTTTGAAATGTGAATCGTAAAAGGCGCCGTACGCATGTTCATTTATGCAGCCAATATTTACTCGAAAACGAGCATAAAGTGCACGTGAGAGGCGGTGTACAGCGAAGAAAAGGCACGTTCATGCGTTCGGCTCTACACATATTCACCAAATGATGAACAACTACCAATGCAAGACACTAATGAAGTCGAGGTGCCCGCACATAATAAGTGCAGAGCATCGTGTAGCTCACGTTTTGCGACAAAACGTGCCGCAGTAGTCGACGAGCGGAATGCGTTATCTTTGCGTTGCATAATACGATACTGTTATAGGAAGGATAATCCATTTGCAAACGTCTTTTTCATTTGTACAGATGTGCTAATCAGTGTTTCATGCGACTATTATCTCGCCAAACACCACCACTAAAATGGACCCAAATGAGATAGTCGACATCAGACCAGCTCCAGCGAAGCCGGTCACATTCAGCTGGACAGCACCAGATAACAACGGGTATCGAGTCAGCAGCCAGACCAGACCTTGTCTCTGGCCAGAATGGAGCGACAGCGCCGTCAATAATGAGCGATGGGGCATGGCTGCACCCAAACCAAAGGACAAAAAACAAGCAGCTGCAGCACCCTCGTCACTTTCTTCAAACGAGGTAGGGAGCTCCTATTCACGTCAGGAACATTAAGCATGAATAACTACTGAATTTTTAAGTCTTGTTCGATGCTTGCTTTGCAAGCATATACCGTCAAGATACAGAGATAATCTAAATTCGGCAGTAACTTATCCACAAACGTAAAAGTTCTCAAAATATTGTATTTGAATACGACAGCGTCTCCGTCACGACGTGGGGGCTTTAATAGAAAACATAACGTCATTCACAGTTATTCGAGGAACCTTTGGGAAAGCGGTTTCTCTTCAATGATATGGAAGCCAGCACCTGGATACGACTCTCGGAATATTTCTCAAATCTAGAAGAGACTGGCCCTGTAACGTGGGATGAACAAGAGTTTGTTTTCGACGTGTCGGCTCCAAATAAGCATCTCGTCAAATACAAGGTAAAGCATTGATTCTACTCAAATAAAACAATTACCTAACTTGTCTAGAACAATTCATATGCACATATACCTATATAATGAAGGAGCGATTAAAAAGAGGGTGCCTACATCGTAAATGGCAATTGGCAAGGGATCATACGTTTCTGCGAATGACCAGCTGATGTGATCTTGCACCCGGATTGCTTCGAATAGACGAGGCAACAGAACTTCATAGTCAAATCGGGATATCTTTTCTCACTTACTTCTCATTGGCCAGCCATGCTGAACAGGTATTGAAATACCAGTTGCCCAGCATATTCGTATTCCTCTCACTATCCCACATCCTGCCGATTATTTCTCCTACATCCGATCTCCTCAGGTGCTCCGACAAATGATGACCGTGCTACACGCGCTCTGGGAGCTCGGGAACGCCGGAGTTCTGGTCAACGCCAACTATGTGCCCGGCGGCCAGGGCGGCGTGGGGAAGCCGTGGCGACCCTGGTCGCTGATCTACTCCATGTGCCGGGCGGGCCCCGGGGTGCCGCATCAGCCCCTCTACAACCCCAGCGGCAAGTACCTGGTCCGACTCTTTGTGCTGGTAAGTTATGATATATTTGGGTAAGAGCTATGGATGTGGATCTATGCTAAGATTGTTTTAGGGCGTCACTTTGGACATTAGAATTGTTTCCTACATCAAAAGCTGTAGAGTGTAGACGGTTGAAAAATGTCATTCTCTAGAGTACGAGCAGGCGTTATTTCGTTTTGTTGTTCCTGGAATTTACAGGGGTGCTGGAGACAGGTATGTGTGGACGACTGGTGCCCCCTGGATCGAGAGGGACGGCCTCTTCTACTGCGCTCCATGAAACTCACCGAGCTTTGGCCGCTGATACTCTCCAAAGCCCTTCTGCAGGTGTGCTTTTGAGTATTATTTTTCATTTTAAAATCTGTATAAAATATTCTATTCATAATGATTGAGAATTAAGCTCAGTATAATCACGACTTTTAACTTGAGCAAACAGACATTAATTAACAGAGAGGTACCTACCCATAGACTGGAAGGTAAACAGAAGCCTAAAAACGTAAAAATTATCATGCAGAGAATGGAAGACACACGTGGAGTGAGCTGTTAAAGCATCTTTATTTGATACAACAATGTGTCAATAGAACGCTTTATATTATTCCGAAGATTAATCAGCATTATGCAGCATGCCCTCTAACAACGCTTCACCGTAGCACCGCTTCGCCGTGAGATGCATTTGCCACAGCTCGCGGCAGAACCGTGCGAAACGAGATCAGGCTCATAGTTCCAATGTCTACCGCTAGATGTCTGTGAAGGTTTGCGCCGGGATGTATGCTGTGCCGCATGGCTAGTGGCTAGTTTCCGCACCGGGCGCTAGATGTCTCTGTAGGAATGCGCCGGATGCGATCAGCAGGTTATCGGCTGCTCAGAGGTTACACCGTAAGGAGTACGCTACTTGACTTGAACATAACATCCTATCGGTGCCGTGAAAATTATGCCCATGTAATAGCATGCAGTGCAGGGCACCTATTGCTAATAAATGCATAGCGAAAGCTTCACGATATCCCTACGGCTTCAGCATGATGAAGACATCACATATCTAACTCAGATAGCGTCAGAATATTTGGGTCAGGAGAGGGTCCAGGACATCAGAGTTGTACTTACTCAACATACACGCAGCCTATGCGGTATGCATTATGCACCACATACCTGTATTATTATATATTACTGACCGGGCCGACGAAATTATTTGGAAACGAGGTTTGCAAAATTGACGGAGGCCCGAGTGCGGAGCACGAGGGCCGGAGTCAAATTTTGCAAGCCGAGTTTCCAAATAATTTCGTACGGCTGAGGTCAGTAAGATTTTTCCTACATGCCGCATACCTATTAAAACGTTTTGACAGGTTTTGGTCACACTTATACAATTGTTTTGTCCATAATTTCCTTACAATGATTGCGCTACTGCTGTGGATAAAGCTCTGAAGGAAATTCATAGAAGAAAATGCATCGAATTACCTTACTTCCAAAAGAATAGCGTCTAAAAATATCAACACAGAATGGCACAACAACTGGATATCCAAGGAACATAATACATGAATAATTTGCTTGCCACGACATAAGAACAAGAAGAAGGTATAATATTCCTAGTGATTAAACGTAAATTTTCCAGTGCTCTTACAAGAATCTTTTATTTATTTATGTAATCGTACTTTGTTTATGCTCTATGGCTGAACTTTCGTGAAATACATTATATTTTCCATATTTTACATGTTTGTTTCGAGGAAAGGACTTACAACTTTCAAATAATAACGCAATAACTTAGGCCCAAGGTATCAGTGGACATATCAAACGAAGATAAGACAACAAACGATAACGGATTTCGATAGGCGCATATCTTACCATAATTTCGCCTTTGTAACCAATACAAAATATTTCAAAACCCTTGATAAGCAGAGCAGATATTTTTTTACCAAAAAATGTTAGTTTTCTTATTTTACGCGGCAAATATCATGCAATAATGATGTCAATTATACATTCCGAGTCAATTATACCTCTGGGCTAATGCGATAAACTGTAGTTTAGAGGTCATTGCCCTGGGCAGTAAACCCGGGCAGTAAACTTTTGTTTACTGCCCGGCCTATCAAATAACATGGCATTTTGACACCGACAGTTTCTTGGTCATAGTTTTACTGCCCGGCTCGTGCTGTGCTTAAGACATACCCCGGCATGTAGGAAACTATTGACCTACACGTCTTATGTGAGCAAAACATTTTGGGTAGCGAGTCGTGAGTAGCCTCTCTGCTCCTGCCACCTTCATGCAGATCTAACACACGTATGTATGTTTGGTTTACACTGCTTTTTGTCACCACGTTTGCAGGTGCTCTCGTCTGGTCGTCGATCGAGCGCGGATGTCGAGGGCCACGAGATTGTAACCATGCTGACCGGCTGTATGGAGAGGACCGTTTACATGAGGTATAATGACGTAACGGTCAAGTCAGTTTGGAAGAGTCACTTATGGTAGAGGCATCGTACGTAGTCCGATATGGGCTGGTCTCCTGACTGGTTTATTATTTTCATTAACTGATATTTTTCTCAATGAATCATTTCATGTCATAATGCGCAGATGCGTTGAACTTTCTTGCGATTCTTTGAATCCATAAAAATAATATATTTGTAATATGTTGATAGTCAAGCAATTTTCCTTAAGGATAAAAACACGCACAAAACAAAAATAACATAAAGTAATTGGACAAAACGTATGATCACAGTGATCACAGTGAGAGCAGTTCAGATAGGTCGCTCGAACACAAGTCGACAAAAAAGCCGACGCCGCTTACCTATGCGGATCTCAATCACCAGTACCCGGATGCGTCCTTTACTCGCATCGCTCACAACTTCTCTGTATCAATTAACAGTCCAGGCTTTGAATGATTCTCTGGTCCGCAACCACGCTCTGGGCAATCAACCACAGATTTTGTAATTCAAGCTCAGTGGCCCAAGAAGTAAAAATGGGCGTAAAGCCAGAATGGACCAGTCGTTTCCGAATATTTTTTTCAATTTTTATATAAATTGAAATGCTGAAACAATATTTTAAAATATGCACATCATGCATATATCTAGAAGGTTTACACCAACCTAGATACAGGCAAAGTTTTTGGGTGCAGACCGCATAAGATCTGAAAGCATCGGCAATACGGATAGGCCGTGCCATAGACGTAAATAACTTGCCACAAACGGCAAGCACAGAAAACGGTTACCGGAAACCTGACAGCGTTATAATGGGTAGACGTGAAAACTCAGATGTTTTTACCTGTTCTTTAAATAAAAATATTTATGATAATAATAACACATATAGACGTTGCCAGAAGAGTAAAACAGATAACAAACGTTGCCAGAGGGGCAAAACAGATTTCAATTTATTGCAAATATCAGCTGCGAGCCGGACATCAGAACCAGCTAAAGTCCTGCTGTAGTCTATCTAAACATTCCTGACGATTCTGATAATACATAGATGTAGCTTTTTGTACGGCCTCTATAAGCATTCTTACGGCGGCTAAGATAATCGAGTCATTTTTGCACGCCCTGCAGACACATGAAGGCGGAAGAGGTATGGAAGCTGATGCAAGAAGAGCTGCTTCCTCGATACACATGGCCAGAGCCTCCTCCGGAGAACGTTATGGCAGCACCGTCAGCGACCTCCTCCCCGAGGCCGGCACACAGCAAACAAAAGCCAGGCAAGGGGCGAGAGGAGAGAGAGATAGAGAGAGAGAGAAAAAGAGAGAGAGAGAGAGGGAGAGAGAGAGAGAGAGAGAGAGAGAGAGAGAGAGAGAGAGAGAGAGAGAGAGAGAGAGAGAGAGAGAGAGAGAGAGAGAGAAGTCATAGCCTTTTAATTCCGTTACTAATATATTTGATTGCGAAACTATCGGCCGTATGAATTGTTTATATCCAAGGTAATTTTCCAGCTACCAATCTACACTATAACAGCGCAAACGTTTCTCCACCGCAGGAGAGAACTCGGCGACAGGTGATAAAAAAGGGAAGGCCGACAAGGCCAAGTCCAAGAAGCCCCAGCCTCCTCCTACGACAGAGGAGAAGCCCGAGGAATCCGAAGCAGTGCTGCAACTGCGCAAAAAGCCGTTCGTGTTGGCTATGATGGAAGACACACAGGTACTGATGGTGTCAAATCACCAGCCAGAGTTTTGGGAGATGGAGAACTGGCAATCGGAAATTAATTGTTTATGACACATTACAATACCTTTCGCTAATTACAGCATGCGTGCACGTAATTAAGCATAATGTTAGCCAAAATTGCATACATTTATGCATACATTTATAATTACGAAGTGTCAACAAAGGTCCTTTCAAGTCAAGAAGCTGATCAGCTATAAAACTAACCTCTGTACTCTAACTAAGCTTGTCAGTCGGAAATATTCTACAGCCTTCCTCATCCCACTCTGCCACCAGGATCAGTACTGCTCGGCGGCCGACGTTCCCCTGGACCCTGATCTGCCCCACCTAGCGCTGGTCTCCCAGTTCCGGGACGTGCCGCTCGAAAAGCCACCTCCCCGACCGCCCACCCCGCCCTGGAAGAACGTGCGGCGCTACCTCTGGGATCCGGACCTCACCAGTACGTAAATGAAGGCGAGGAATTAACATTAATTTCTTTGAAGAAATGCATGAGCAAAAATGTCGGCAATGATCTAGCAAGCTTCGAATCATCAAATGCTAACGCGCTTCAGTGTTTGAGTGATTTTTACGTAAAAACACCAATACTGTTCTTGACTCTTACTTCGCAGATCCGCCTCGTCCGATTCAGATGCTGGAGGTGCACACTCCTCTGCTGGAGGTCACCACTCCTTGGAACCTGTCCAGCTCGGAGCTGACCACGGACGCTGCGGAGGGGGTGCCCACAGATGTCCCCTCCTTCAGCGCCGAGCACAGTCCTGCCAGTGCCGCAGCGGTCAGTGCTTACTTTTTAGGGAAGTTTCTCCCTTTTGCAGAAATAACGATGGTTATATAACAGATAGAGGATAAAAAAGAGTGATGCTGTTAGTTTTTCAATCAATAGGTAAATATTTTACGTTTTCATGTGCATTCATGTATGTTTTTATGAGTTATAAATAAGTATGTCAGGATAGGAAACTAGCAGTCTGGCAGTTGCACTTTTAAAGCATGTTTCGAACATCTCAAACCGGATTTTTCTGTCAGCAGACCGGAGGAGAGGTGTTATCAGACAGCAGCGCGCGCGCTCCAGCCACCGCCAGAACTGGCGGAAACAGCGAGAGGAACAGCAGTAAACCGAGCAAAACCAGCAGCAAACCAACAACCAACAGCACAAAAACGAGCAAAACCAACAGCAAACCGGCTCCGACCGAAAGTCCAAAACAGAGTCAGGCCAGCAACAAATCGCCCGCGCCCGTCACCGTGGACACGAAACCAAGCAAGAGCGGCAACAAATCCAATAAGCACGACAAGTCTGTCGAGAGGAAGCCGTCAGCGACCCAATCTCTGTGTCAGCGGGTCAGTGGCGTAAGTAGGGAGCTGCACCGTCTAAATTTACGTTCCAACCTGTTATTGCATCGTGTTAGTTTTTATCGTTAGAATAACTTTTAAGGGATTTCCTTCTCTATAATGTTATCCAGTGTAATATTAATTATGAAGTGTTCATGACTTCGATATCAGTTTGCCAGAGCACTGTTTCGATAACGAATGATGTGACGTATGTTCTGTCTCAGAGAGCGTCGCGTCCGCTGGGAAGAGTTATGTCCCCGTCAGCACCGGCCATCATAATGGCAAAGGCAAAAGAAACCAAGACGTGGATGCACATGGATGAGTTCTGCAAAGTATTCAAGTGAGCAATGACAAACATCGGGTCTGCCCTGACGTGAAATAGCATAATTGATGAGTTATAAAAAGTTATTTTGTTGCATATAAAGGCGCATCGACGACGGGATCATTATGCGCCCAGAAGTGACAGGAATTCCTCCATGTCCCGCATGGACATGGAAGCTATGCGGCACAGCATAACTTAATGCCCATTTAGAAGTAGTTTGGTTACACTTAATTAGAATATACTTATTGCCTCGCCTTCAATAGTAGTAATTACTCTTCTTGGATGATATTTGCCTGTTTGACCTCAACAAAGAGCAACAATAAAACCCCCTCCCGTCAACCGAAACTTCAACTGAATATTCAATCCCAGCCCGGTTTCGTTCAACCATAACTTCTCCTTTCTTCCCAGTCGTCTCCACCTCTTCTACTCGGTATCAGCTCTACGCAACCAGTGCGTGCTCTCTGACCTGGTGACCGCTCCGACACCGCCTCCCAACACCATGTCGGGGCGGGGTGACAAAGACAAGGCAGATAAGGCGGCCAAGGGGACCCGTCTGTCAGCGAGCAGCCGTCACTCGGACGGCGAACACCCCCTGAGGCGACTGGACCACACCGAGCCTCTCTACATCTGTATCCTGTCACGATCGGGCTGTGGGGGGGGGGGGGCAGCTGTGGGATGTGAATAATGGATGGTATGGCCAGAAAGATATTATCTTAGCTCATATAAGAGCGTAAACATAACAGAATCTCGGTGTGCTGTTTTATACGCCATTTTTTCGTAGAGAAATTCTGTATCCGTACTTGCATCCGATAGTTCTGTCTTCGCTGTATGAACTCACTTTTGGCCTTGGAAGGTTTCGATGACATTGAATTTCCTTAGCATTGATACCCAGTCATCGACACGCTGGAAAGCTCTCGGATCTTCATCAGTCTTCATGTGGCGCCGCCGGAGCCTCCTCCCGAACCACCCGCCCCGGTACCCGCCAGCATCGTAAGGAACTTTGGCTTGAGTGATGTCTCTTAAAAATCGATCAATACAAATTGACATCAATGCTGAGACATTGTTCCATGATGTTTTACGCAAAGCAAAGCTAAGCGTTTCATACAACGATTGAGCATAATGCTGGGGTGGCTAAATATTATCATCTCACCAAGCCTATTGTAGTTTTTTTTCTGTCCACCAGCCGGACGAGTCGGCGCCCCCTGCCGCCGCCGTGGAGACCCCGGTGACTGCCACCGTCACCGACAGCCAGGCAGTGTCTGCCACAGCCGAGACCGTGCCGGCGACACCAGCCACCACTGAGAACCCCAGCTCGATCACAGACAACACGGCGGGACTCTCAGAAATCCCCGGAGCGCTCTCAGACAACCCCGCGGCGCTGTCAGATACCGTAGCTCCTTCGATGACCTCGACTGAGACGCCCCGGGCGCCAGAGCCCTCGTCTTCTGTCCAGGCCACCGGGACCACACCTCTGCTGACCGCTCGCTCGGAGACCCAGTCTGAGTCGGCACCGGCTCCGGCGCCCGCCGAGCCGCAGCCGGAGCCGGAGACACAGCCGGCAGCACCGGAGCCGGAGACTGAGCAGCCGGCCGAGCCGGAACCGGAACCGGAACCGGAGCCGGAGCCTCCGGAGCCGCCGGAGCGGCGCGGAGCCGCCGTGGTGTCAGAGTACTGCTGGAGCAGCGACCAGCCAGGGAGGGTGATGCTCACCCTGGGCCGCCGCTCTCCGGACTCGGGAGTCATCAGCCTGCCGGCTGGGTAAGCGATGATAGGCGAGGTGGTGCTCTGATTGCTTTGCACGCAAAATTAAACTCAGTAGCAGCTGCAAACGGCACCGTTGAACGTTTGACTAAATACCTGTTGCGTTCAGTAACAAATTTAATATTGCTGTCAAGAGGACTCACGGAATGCATTTGTTTTAATTGTAGGGACGATGATATAGAGAAAGGTGAAGCTCTGTCATCGTAGCAAAACCGTTGAAAAGCTCCTCTACATACTCCTCTTCCTTTGGATAAGGTGCATTTCTATTTGTATTAGAGGTGTTTGGTCGGTATTGTAGAAATAAGGCGTCATATTTCTTTACACCAACATGTGACGTTCCTGTTTTTGTCGTGCAGGCGTCATGTGGCCCAGCTTTTAGTGACGTCAGGCCGAGGTTATGCGCTCCAGATCGGCTCCAACAGCCAGTTTCGATGCGGCACCATTCGTGACCTGGTGCGATGGCTGGCAGAGCCTCCGCGACGCTATCTCAAGGCTGGCAGTAAGTCCTCTCTTCAGAAGCAGCACGATCTAAAGTAGCAGCAAGCATCTGAGCCAAGCTATTCATTATCTTAGAAAGGTAGTTTTGAAGTTCAGCCTGCATCTGAGGCTCATTATGTGAGGTTGTTTGGAGTTTATTCTGCGACTGACATATTTAACTTGTATTTGACTTTGAAGAGTTTTCGAGTTTCAACAGACTTCAGTAAACTCCCTGCATATTTGTTTTCATTCCGAGAGCAGTCCCGTTTACCTTGTGTCTGGTCAAGACATCCGATTCAGTTCTGTGATATGTGCCTACGTCAGTCACATGCTTACTGAACTCTCACCGTCTGTTTTGCCACAGGTGACGTTTCTGATGGTCTTCTTCAACTGATGCAAAACTTTATCTCTGAGACACCCAGTGACCACAAGGAGAAAATGTCCGCCCTCTGCCGCATATTCTGTCCCGAGACCAAACCGGAAGAGAAGGGCCTCCGCCTGTTTTATCAAGAGGTGAAACTTGTCTCTAAAGCTGAGTGGTGACTATGTCCATAAAGTTAGTGATCCCGCTCATTTGAATGATGCAACGTTTGTCTTTCACATTTAAAGCGAACGCTAGCAATGCTTCCCGGAAAATGTCAGTATGAGTAACCATGTCTACTAATCTAACATATAAGGAACTTGAAACGAACTCTTGTTACATAATTCCGTGCACTTTATTGCGCAATATTCACTCAATTCAGTTGCATAATCGGGCTGCGATGTAGGCTTTACATATAGAGCCAACAGCGCCGTCTCTTCCGCTGCCATTCCCAAATCTTATTTTCCCGGTGCCTCCTTTCCAGACGTTCCTGAAATGCCTGTGTGAAGTTTTGCCGCAGCTGCTAGCTGGTAATATAAACAGCGAGTCCGTCTTCCCATGGAAATGCTTTCTGATGGATGCAAACGTAAGTTCAAGGGGGCCGATAGACCAAACATCATGAATGGGAAATCTGATCTGCATACATCTGCAGCTATATTGGGCTTCCAGGGTAATTTATTTGCTTGGAAAACAAATTTCCATCTTGCTGTGAACCGGAAGACATTTTCTTAGATCAGAAAAATCCTCAACTCTTTTCGGTAAACTGCGGTTCACACTCTCAAATTGGCGCCGATTGCAGCACTCGATGCAGTGCCGCCGGGCCGGCAGTCCAGCACCCTCCAAGGACCGGCCCAAGAGCAAGCAGCGCGCCGCCACTCAGGGCAAGAAGGAGGTCGGGAAGACGGGCAGCACTCCGGCAGCGAAACGCACCGGCAAACCGCCCAAGGAGGAGTCGGAGCGCAGGAACGGACCGGACGATGACGTCTTCAACAAGTGAGCTAATTAGTCGGAGGCCACCACTAGAGCCTGAAACAGACTATTTCCTCAGTCAGGAAATCGCATGCGAGAGCCTATTTAAATGCATGGAAGCACGCTCGCATCAATCGCACGCACCTCCCGGATGCGATTGCTGCAAAAAACTATAATGTAGTTGAATAGGCTCTCGCATGCGATTTCCTGAATGCGGAAAGAGTCTGTTTCAGCCTTAAGAGGTGGTTGATGACTATTGCTATGGTAGAACAAAATGTACTCCTAATCGTGGGACTTATTGTGCAATGAAAGTAGACATGCAGGGGATATTTTATCATAATTATTTGTTGATCAATTATCTCAACATGCATGATGCAAGCTGCAAACTCTCATACTAAATGACCGCTTGGCTAATCTATTTTCTTGTCACGGTACCTCAGCCCAATGAAACACTGATCTAACCCGATGTCCCCTCCCCCCCCCCCCCTCCAGAGGATATGGGTCACTGGAGACGACGGCTGCCGTACAGCTACAGGGGTTTGCGCGCCGGCTGCTGGCTCGGCGAATGCTGCGCGCTCACCGACGGGGAACCATCGAACACCAGCGGGTGTTGGCTGAGATTCAGCGGGCGACCCCTCAGCTGCAGCAGCAGGCAGATAAACTGGCTGCCGAGATGCTCAGGTGGGACAGGCATTTAGGTAGACGGGTGGATGTTATCAGTGGGTAAAAAACGCAAATGACTCGCAGCAAGGCATGAGACGAGGTGCTGTTATTAGCTCGGTCTGTTGGTTTGGGGAAGCTAAGAATTGCGAAAAATGATAATTTTAATCATTGATGCTAATCTAAGTTGTCAATTGCATGGATAAACGATTAATGTCTTGTCAGATGGCAACCAGCTTATGGAATTTCCTCCCCATACCTTGCATCACAATGCCTTTTTTATTCTCCTGTTTGACTTTCATGACCTTGGCTACGTCGCTGTATGATCATTTGCACAAACTCTGATGTTCTTCCCCCTGCCTCTTCAGGAGGATGCTGGACGCCACCCGACCGCTGATGTCCCGGTACCAGTTTTACGGCGACCTCTTCCACACGGCCAACTGCACCGAGATGAGCGGAAACGCCACCGATGTGGGCGACCACCGCTGGTTCCTCCTGTTCCGACTCGGATTCCGAATCAACACTGATCATGTAAGACATGCGAGCGAAAAAGAAGCACCCGCAGTCTGAATGCAGGGTGTGAGGTTGTTGAGGATTAGCTCAGTACTGTGATATTTGCGGAATGCAGCCTTTTCGCTGGACGTTGAACGGAAAAAAGGTATGTGTGTACGGAGAAGAAGAATGAGAAAAAATAAAAATAAAAGAGCCAGTGATCGAATGAAATCCAGTTTATCAAGGATGTCACTATTTGCGAATAATCATTGCTCCCTAAAACGTTCTACGTCACAGTCCCATAGTTTTCATCTTTACGGCGAGTTACGGTGAGTTAATACTGAAGTCGTTTCATTGACTTTATCGGGCGACCCTGGCGCAGGTGGTTGCGATTCGTCCGTACGTGTCGGCCGGGTTTCCAGTACGGACTCATCTGTATGACCTGGACAACAGGTGTCTGATGGACCCCGTCCGACACACCGGGTACCCCATGCAGGCCAAGAAGGGAGCGGTGAGTAATATCGTGGCGCCGCGCAGTCGTGATGCTCTCAGGCTAACATGACCAATTACAGTTACTAACTGTAATTGGTCAGGTCAGTCTGAGAGCATCACGACTGCGCGGCGCCACGACATAGTCAGTTAGTGGTCTTCCAATATATTGCAAAAATATATGTTTTAACCTCTGTGTTCATGGTTGTTTATTCAGTTTATTTCTTTGACTATGCCTGGCTGTCATGAAGACATTGTAGAAAGCCTAAAGGCTGAGTTTACATGAGTCTACACAACCCCATACACAATCCCACCCTGATACGTGGCATCGTCCTGCAGGAGGGTTTCTGCCTGGTGGCGGAGGCCCTGCCGCAGCAGGGGCAGCGGGAGGGCCACGCCGCCGACGGACGCTGGACCTGCTGGCTGATGGACCAGGTGCAGGACCGCAGGCTCTTCTCCGATGTCAAACACATCTCACTGGCGGGCTGCGCGGCCTCCTTTCACACGCGCCACGTCGTGGACTACTACGTGCCGCGACCCGACCAAGTGGTCTTCGAGTAAGTGAACGGGGCAAAGAGAAACGCATGGGCACAGGGTTTTAACTTGTATTAGCATGCTGTCCGACAACTTACGTGTTCGGTTTTTACAGTTTTCAGCTACCCGAAGCACAAGTACGAGCACTCTAACTCGTAAGTTTTCGGTTCACTTTGACTAACTTATGGCGAAGTGTATTTCAATTCGTTTCACAAAATTGTAAGCATCATTGTTCTTATGCGTCGAAAGTGTCAAGGCCTCAAGACAGAGGCTCATTGTAACTGGATTTAGGGTAAGGACGCGTGGCTGCTTTACTTCAGCATCATACCTATCGATACTTTTCCTGCGTCCGCTTGATCTCCCACAACTGCTGATCCAGTGAGGACTGCCATTCACGAATCTTCTGCAGCTGCTGGTTGTTCTCCCACCCCACTCCGCCGTCTTCAACCGGTGCTTTCTTTTCACCCGTCAAATAGTTGACCCTGTTGTCGCCAATGCCGAATGACGAGTCTGATGTCCCCGCGAGTAGCTCCAGCTCAGTGATCATACCCACGCCCTTCTTTCGCTGCGGGTCGGGCTGTTTCTGAGACCACTGCTTATGCTTAATCGCGAGACGCAGCAGCTGGCGACCGGCCGGCTGCTCCAGCAGCTGTCGCCAGGCGTCTCGCTTGGCAGGCGTCAGTTCGACCAGGGTCTGCACGATGGGTCCCAGGTGATCACGTAGGTACTCCTCCAAACGAATACACTGGGCCGCTGTGTCGCAGTTGGAGGACGAGCCCCACATGACCGCGCCCGCCGAGCCACGCGCAGCAGGCTCGCCGAGCATGATGATGAGGTCCTCGTCCGAGAGGTAGCTCTCGTCGTCGTGATACTGGAACCATGTGTACGGGAGAATGGGAAGACCCTCTGCTTGGCGCCGAGCCTCGACCAGCCGTCCGATGACAGTGTCTCGGCGATTTTCGCTGGTAAAATTGTTCAGGAAAAGGTAGATTGAGGGGTACAGCGCAAAGCTGTCTCCAAACAGCCAGGACAGCTGATCGTTATGCTCCCGAACGTTCCCTGGACACGTTCCGTTCTCAACTTCCAGGTTCTTGCACAGGGGGTACTGGTAATAGCCCCAGAGCGCCGCAGGGCGCGCCTTCTCCGCCGCCCTGAGAGTTTGCTCGAGGAAGAGACGCGCCCACCACTCCCAGTCTTCTCGGGCCTGTTCATCGACTCTCTCTTCTGGCCAGTCGGGGTGTTCATCTCGCACTGCCTGGTGTGACGCGAGCCGGTACTTCATAGGTGACTCGGTGAACCACGGCGTCCACTCCTCGAAGTCGATCACTGCCAGACCGCTGAAGTTGACGTCTGGAATGTAGCGGTCCACATCAGCAGCGAACGCGTCTAGGTGAAGTCTCAGGTCGCCCAGCTGTGGAAGCCCGCCGTTCACCCGGGTGCCGTTGGAGAGGATCTGAGGATACAGGCCGGGGTTGTAGAACAGCACGATCCGGTCTCCCCGGAACGCGCCGTCCGAGTTGACTATGAACCCGTACTGTGCCGGGTCGATGGTCACGTTGAAGTTGGCGCACTCTGAGGAGGGCACGTTCCACACCACCTTGAAGGAGTCGTCTGTCTTCTTCGAGGTGGCTAGCGGAGACACCGTTAGCAGTGCCAGCGTCAAAAGAAGCATGGCGGTCATAGTGAAGGGTGCTCAGACAAAGTTTCTAGGAACACTGAACCCTGAGCTTTATGTTGAACAGATGATTACAGTAAAGAGAAATGCCAAACAACCCGAGCACAGAAAACAGTCTTAGTACAACCCTCTTTTTAAACTATCAGCAGTCTTCGCTAGGAGTAAAATGGTTGTTCCCAGGCTCAGCTCGTCCACTGGCGTCTCACAGCACCGCTGACAGGCCACTGACCGCCGTCCGGCCCGTCCCGGAGATCTGTTTGGGTCGTATCAGTTCAGCTTCCGACGACGCCGTCCGCTCGCCCTCACTATCTCGGGTCTATGAGATCGGCCAGAGGAGCATTGTGTTCGGCGATGTCTCAGTGGTATTTTGAAACCCAGAGTTAATCGGTGCAACGTCGGTCCGAGACTTGAACTTTGCAGTCCAATGATGCAACTGTAATCGCATATATTAGCTCAATTTTACTCTCATGTTGGGGTCACGTTTTCTCAGCAGGGTAATTCATGAGCCCATGTTAGGCAATATTCCAGGGCATTTTATTCCAAGCATTTTATTTCATTAAGATTGCTGATTGCTGGCAAGTACCTACACCTATTTTGATGAGTGAATTTATAAAAGGGTTGTATCTAGTTCATCAGATTGTAGTCTTCTGAGGGTTGACCTTACCGCTACGTCATGGTTAGCCTATGTTATTGTTCACTTGGCACACTAACTCAAGTGCTTCACTTGAACGAAAATAACAATACAGCGATACACGAGTGCTCTCATACTTTCGGCACTAATGTGCCTTTTATCTTGAGCTTCGGTACTTGACATTCATGCTCTCCGTTTCGTAACAGCTTCTACATGAGAGCGGGAAAAGGACATCAACTTACTCTGCAGATGGAGACAAGCCATCGGAAAGCCCTCATCAAAGTGCAGATATTCGATTTCGAAAGTAAGTTGTGCAATCGTTAGGTTGCACGTTTGGGTTATCAAGATTGCATCTTTTGTTCTATAGATCGCTCCGCTACGATTTGAGACGGCACAATGAAAGTTTGGAAGTAGTTAATTTAGTGATCATTTTGGAGGACAGTAATACATTTGGATGTTGGAAGGCAGGCCAATGTGACCTACTGACCGTCTCTTCCTAAAAAGTAAATTAGCCGTCTAGTGCAAAGCATCACAGCTGGCCTTCAACAGTTGGGTTTTGACCTTTGCAGCTCACTTTTTCTGACCAGCTGCTCGGTTTTGGACGTTCCAGACAGCGTCGTGGCCAGTGCAGAGGGTGAAGGGCAAGCGGTCATACCACTGTTCGTCATGGACGGAGAAGAGTATTTCATACCGTCTACCAACGTCCACGGCAACCACGATGGAAAGAAAAAGGGCTCTCTCAACAGGGTAAATAGTGTCTTTATTTTATCCCGCATTATGCACGCCGTATGATGTATATATGTGTTATGCATTGAGACATCTAGCATGCTCTGTCTGGTCTACAGAGCAGAGACCACAATGAAATGTTTCAGGTTGAATCCCTGTTTATTCAATTATGCACTTATCACTGACAGCCCTGTTCACTCAGTTATACAACCCTCGTCATTTTCCCCTTTCTTTTGACCACACAGAAGGAGCGCGGCGGGGCTCCGGACTCGCCGGGTAAGAGGGGCGCCGGTAGGGGCCGGTCGCGCTCCTCACGCACCAGTGGCGACCACGAGCGGTGGTCGGGAGACAGCGGCGGCAGCAGCAGCGGAGACGTGAGCCGACCCCAGAGGCCTGACAACTGGGACCGCTACCGGCTGGTGTGTCGGGTGCAGGCCGACACGTGGCCTCTAACGCGCTCTCAGTGGGGCTTCGTGCACAAACTGACCCAGGCGGGCGTCTCCGAACAGTACAGTAAGTGGAGGAAGCCCGGGTGTCGGCAAGTTGTGAGAAAACTGACGTGATGTATGGAAAGAATGGATGAGGATAGGGCAAATTGATAATGCGCGCGATGTTTATTTTCAGAAATAACTTGTTTCGAAACCTAAGAAAATTCATAAAATGGAACTTTATCTAGGAGTTTCGAACATTTCAACAACATTTTGATAACCTATAGCACAGGAATCTATGGCACTGGAAGTGAGCAATATGTAAATTAACTACAATTTGACCATCTTATATTGACTAGAAACACAATCGTTACAAAACGCGACCAATAAACAGTAACGCTGCCCCTCTTGTCAGTTTTCAAGTGGGGTCCTTTGACACGTTCGTTTCGGATGCGGTTCGCCACAGTAAAATTCATTCAGTAAAATTCAAAAGTAATTGGGCTGCGATCTTAGCATTTATGTCCCTTGTGACTCGAAAGCGAGCCAAACTATTAAAAGGTTGTCCTTTGCGTATAATCAAAGTGAATTAAACCGACATGTAATAAAGTAGGAGACATTCAAGCAGATTACACTAGCGATTCAAACGTCCACGTCATTTAATCTTCATCAGACCCACTGTCGGACCCGGAATCGCTGCCGCTGCCTGAGTCAGCGCTGCTGGACCCGCCTCCGTAGTCGCTATCACTACCGCTATCGCTTCCACTGTCACTTCCGCTGTCGTCTCCCTCCTCGCCGCCGTCCTCACCGCTCGCACTCACACTGCCACCGGCAGAGGCGGCGGACGCTTTCCGTTTCGCGGAAGAGACGGTGACCGAGACCACTTGTTTCGGCGAGCCGGAGCCAGCGCTGCCCACAGCTGAGGTTGTAGACCGACGGCTGACAGACTTGTGGGAGTCCACGTCTGCTAGATAATCCTCTTCCAAAGCCTGTATTTTCTTCCGTGCAGAGTGAACTGTTTCGTGCAGCTGCCGATCGAGGTCACGGAACACCTTTTCTTGTTTCTGAAGGCGATAGTCTCTCGCCGCCATGCAGCGAGAGCATGGATAGCCACCCTCCACGTCCACCATTATAAAGTGGCCGTGAGGTCCGCCCACATGTTCGCCAGCCTGCCGACGGTACTCACAGCACTGGCTCACTCGAGTCACGTCAAAGCCATCGACATAGATGGTCAGTGAGAATGGGTGGCCCTCCCGACGCATTGACCTGAATGTTATGTGATCACGAGGACGGATAACTTTAGAAAACACCATGTGGGCATAAAGACCGCAAGGCTGTTGGAACACCACCACTTTGGAACGCGCATTGTACAGTTTTTGGAGATATTTTCTCCTCAGACGAGGCATTGGATTGGTCAAATCTTCTTCCTCTTTGATTCCTAAGAAACGCATGGTTACGATGACCGGTTCTGTCTTCATTGCCAGCACAAATTTTCGAGGCGGTTGGGCCGGAAATAGACATGGTATTCGTTGCTTGTACTGAGTACTTGTTTTCCAATTTTTGTTTTTCTTTCTCCAATATTCAGGCCCATGTTTGCACTCAAAATAATCCATTTTATGCCGAGATAGGTGTATGCTTACGAATGCTACTCACAATTTACTAAGCGATTCTTTGTTCGCCGTTTTGTTTTATTTTCCGATGAAACGTGACAAATTTCTTACACTTCCGTAGAGAAAACAATGCTGCACTTTTCACTTATTAATTTAACACTTCACTTGTTTTCATCCCCTGTAATGCATATTTTATACAACCCATCAATAGCTAATTCATTAGCGTTGTAAGGAACACCTGTAGCAACTATAAGTGCCATCCACTGCTTGAGTGACCGTCACTTTTGACCAAGGTATATACAGCCTGACGACAAATCGCGGCGAGTTAGCACCTTATAGCGCAGCAATAACACGGCAGCTCGATGCATAATGAAACTGAGAATATATACTCGTATTCCCGACCGGCAGCGGCGCGGAGCGGCCTGGCCGGGGCGGGGAAGATAACAGCAGCAGGGGAGGTATCACGCCCGGAAACAGTACAAACACACATTTCAGGTTTATCGTTTATCTGTCTAAAAACCTGCTGCTCCGGCTCGATCGTCAAAGTGACTCAAGAACAGCTGCTCCATTAAATTGTGCTGATCTGTCGCGTAACCTTTTCCAAAAGCATCGGTTATTTAACTTGGCGTCCCAAATAACCGTGTTTTTATTTCAGTTCATGGACCTTTCGAGTTTCGCTCTCAAGTGGTGCTACCCACGAACAAGAAACCAACGAAAAAAGGACGAAATGCGCAGCAACACAGGGGCAAGCCTCAAGCTGGTGAGTACCAATTCAGAGACCGTTGACACAAGTGCTCGCTAGGTTTTAAGTCAAATTGCGTATGTTCAGGTCATTCACACAACGATTAACAATAAAACACAAACACGGTTTTCTAGAGATCTGACACACGAACAAAGGACCGACCGAAGACACAAACAGGACGTCATGACATTCATTAGAACAAACCATACCACACATAGCCCGTAATATCTTAACAATGAAGCTAACACCAGAATATGCTATCAGCATGGTTGTTAAAAACAACCAATTAACAGATACATTACAACTTCTGGTGTCAGCATCATTGAGGAAATCGGTTATGTGCAGCCCATGACATGCTCTAACAAATGCCACGACGTCCTGTAATGCATCTTCGTCCTCCGGTAAATGGGCGCAGTGGATCTAAAAACATAGTCGGACGCAAATCTCAATAAAAACGAGCTTAATTTGACACTTCACATGCAATGAGCACTAAAATATCTCGCTACACTATATTCTCACCATCGTCCTCATCCTCAAAGTCCTCATCCTCTCCCTCATCTTCATCCTCCTCCACCTCCTCTCCCTCTCCCTCCTCGCCTTCCTCCACGTCCGCCTCCTCCCCGTCATCCTTGAGCAGCGTGTCCTCCAGCAGGTTCAGCACCTCGTCCGCGCTGACACCGGCCGATATCAGCTGACTGCGGTCGGCCTCTAGCTGTTTGCGCTGCTGCAGAAGGAACCGTTTCTTCCTGCCATGCTCCCTTCTCCTCTCTTGACGTTGTTCGTGCCGCCACCTGGCGCCTGCCAGCAGTCGCTGCACCCTCCTCTGTCGGTACAGCACCACCAGGAAGAAGGTGAACAGACACAGGTCGAGGACGAAACCGATGGCCAGGACGCGCAGCGAAGTTCGCGACTGCGCCAGACTGTAGGTCGGCTTGATGGTGAGCTGGATGACAGCGATCTCGACGCCTTCCTCTGCGCAGCTGTACCGGCCGCGGTCGTCGCGACGTACCGAGGCGATCATGAGACGGCCGTCGCGCGACACGCGCATCCGGTGGCCGCTGTCGGCGAACACGGACGACTTGTTGATGACGCGGTTATAGTAGAACCAGGTGATGTCGCGGTCCCGTGGCCGCTCCATGCGGACGCCGAGCATGCTGCCGATCGCCGTGTCTGCTACCATCTTCTTCAGCTTCTTACGTATTGTCTTCTCGGGCGGCCAGGGACACTCGAGGATGGCCGGGTCCTGTTCGAAGACTGCTGCTTGAAAGCGCTTGCGAGGAGCCGGTCCGAGAGCCGCCAGGAAGGAACGCTCTCTAAGAGAGTCGGCGGCACTCTTTTTGCTCTTGCAGCGTCGTGGGTTGGAGCAGTTTCGCCTTTGAAGATAATCAGGCAGCTCCCGTAAGACCAGACTCAGCTGCTTTTCGTGCAAGAAGACATGCATGGAGCGCGCTGCCAGACCGGTCTTGTAGGAAACCGATGTCCTTCCGCGGGTGTTCTTCAAGTCATCCTGCTCGAAATCAACATTGCGCTGTCGCAGCGTCCCCATACGCCACATCTGGCCCGGCTGGCCCTTGCAGCCGTGACACGTCGACCACGGGGCCCACGACAAATACAGCTGGATGTCCTCGAAACGGAAGTACGTCTTGAGCTTCTTCGTGGTGGTTTCGTTGATGTACTTCTCCTTGTATTTGTCCAGGTCGCGTTCAGTCGATCCCTCCACCGGCGGCGTCCTCTGCGGGAACAGCATGTCCACCGTGTAGATGTACTTGTGCTGGCCGTCCGTGTGGTACCGATCGAAGCAGTAGTACATGCCGGTGTCATTCACATCCAGTTCTTTGATCACCAGCGTGTGGTCTGGCCCGACGGTGACGCGCGCCGAGTCACCGGCGTCGAGCTCCACTGGCTTTCCGGGCACGTCGACCGCCCACAGGTCGGTGGTGAAGTACCAGCGCTTGGAGGAGTGGTCGTCGCGCTCGTCGCAGTGGTGGCACGTGAGGCTGACCCGAGAGCCCGGCAGCCGCTCGACCGTCACCACCCGGTCGCGCTCGGCGATCCCGATCAGACGGTTACGGTCAGCGCAACTGATCGAGTCTAGCTTCCTACCGCCTTTGCGGCACCAGCAAAGCGAGATCAAAGTCAAAAGCAGGAGTAATTGCGTAAAACGCATGCTCATCGATGTTTGTGGAGCAGCAATACGCAGGAAACTCGGTGAATCTGAATTAGCTGACCCCTTAAATTAGCGTCTTCAACAGCTGTGTCAGCTCGGCCGTGAAGAAACATGGTGTGCGAAGTCGTGTTGAACACCGCTAAGAAAATAGTCGTGTGCATGCGTATGATCACAGGCGATGTTCCAAGACAACCGTCTCATAATATTCCCATCACTTTTTGCAGTTGAGCGATGTTAACCACCAATACCGCAGTAAATCACACAGTTATAATTTCACCTGGATTACTGATAAACAAAGTCAGCGAAGCATTGCATTTGTACACTCGGAAACGCGCTTATGCGGTATTTAACCCAAATTCGCCACGTTAACGCATTCACGTGACTTATATTGCGTATAACATCTTCAAAAATTGTTTGACAGCCACTATGTTCACCCCTCAGCTCCGCCGTCCGCCGGTGCAGGCGGCAGCGGCGGTCCTTTGGTGACGGACACAACGCCTGAGCCCGTCCGAAGTTCGACAGACATCGACAGGAGCCGGCCACACGTGATGCTGAGGCTCGTCAGCACGGAACAACGAGCGGTACGTCTAACTGGGGAACGTATGTAGTTCGCTACGAGCCTCGAAGTTTTATTATTAGTAGCACCTATACCAACAAAATCGAGCCAATCATATTTTTGGAATATGGTACTCTGTATGATGACGTAATTTTGGGGGTTTGTTATTGGGTGGTGTTAATTATATACAGATGGTTACCATCCGAAGTTGGATAGACCTAAAGCTCACATTGAAATTTGAATGACATTGAATGCATACGGATTTTGTTCCGCAGGATGAAATCGAGCTGTTCTACAACCACGACCACATCAACGCCATCAAGCTGGAAAAGGCAGCCTGGGAGACGGCGGACGCGGGCAGGGCTGAGCGCGCCCGGAAAATGCGACTCGAGGTAAGAATGTCCAAAGTGTATACCGTCAGGCACCGACAAATTCATGATCCTCAAATGCAATTTTCTCGATGCGTCCTTCCGCGAGGCTTAGAGCCGAGCCAAACGGCATCTAAACAATGCCAATATATGCAAATGAATTTGGGTCAAGCAGCATGACATCACAAACTGCACATTGCTTCCGTGTTGATCGCGGAGAATTTCTCCCGAACCTTCCAACTCCGTATATGTGTGTCCTTGTCCTTGGCTAGTACCTGGACCAGCGGACGTGTCGCCTGCCGGACGAGTGGCCCACCCTGGTGCCCACCACCGCCGCCGCTACTCCGACCCCAGCCGGTGGAGACAACCAGAGGGCCATGGCGCACTCGGAGCTCGCGACGCTGCCCTCCTCAGGTGATTATGTACATCAATTGGATAGAAAAAAACACCGTGCTAGATAGTTGCAAAGTTGGTGTAGATCAAATTTGCCTTTTAAGGCTGGAGAGAACCGGTCTTGAATTTATAGAAACTGATAAAGAGATGAAAGCCCTTAAACCAACCAAGCATACCTATTCGAGAGTCGGCCCGATACGTGAGAAATCCCGATTCCAATAGGTAACATAAAATCACCAACGCATTGAGCAATATCACAGATCAATTTCACAGCCCCGTGTGATCACACGAGATGTGACCGTTTTCAGAGGAGTTCGAGCCGCTGCCTGAGAGTGACCTGGAGGCCAGTGACCTCCGGGAGGCGCCCCTGGACCCGGAGCCGGAGCCGCCGGAGCCCCCGGAGCCGGCCGAGTCCGGGGCGGGGCCGCCGGAGCCGCCGGACCGCGGCTCCGTCCGGAGCCCGGAGCCGTCGTCCGACCGTGAGACGGAGCCGGAGCTGGCGCCGGAGCCGCTGTTTGTAACGCCGCAGCTGCCGCCGGCGTTCGTACTAAACGAGGTGGACACGAGTCTGTTTGTGGTGGACCAGCCGCGCCGTCTGACTGTCTGCGACGACCAGTTCAAGGTCAGACAGCTGCACTGCACCTGTGATGATAGGAGTGTGGTGAACCCTTCATGTTGATTGTGGTAGACACTTGGTGTGTTGTGTTCACTGTTCAGTCTTCTCAGCTTAGCAACTGTCGACGGGCGGAAGAACTATCTGTAGTGCTTAACGACGAAAACAAAGGGTGGGACAGCCCAGTTTGTTCAGTAAGACAAGCGTCCTTTGGTTCTTATCCAGCAACAGCATCGAGGTTACCTTGAAAATAATCCTTTGATCTGTGACGATGATGTTCTGTAACAACTTACGTGTCTCTCCCCGGCCGACACAGGATGAACAGAGCAAAAAACACGAGCGGCGGATTGAGAATTTCGCTCAGCGCTGGACGGCCGTCGGTGACTTCATGTCGGCAGAGCACAGCGGAAGAGAGGACGCCAAACTGGAACAGATGACGTCACTGCACGGCTCATTGGTGAGACTGATTTCAAGGTGGATAGCAATTATCACAATTTGGTGATGATTTATAACGTAGCTGTGTACAGTGGCCAATTGAAGAGCAAGGATCAAAACGATGGGGAAAACTGTCGTATCTCAAACTGACAATTTTTTTTTGGCAAAACTGTAAAATCAGACGCTCGGGTCTGGGATTAATTCGTTCAAGAAGCCAATGTCTAACACATGTTTCTCTCTCGAAAAATAATAAAAATAAATGAATAGCTGCACTTGTCATTATTGACAGCTGTTGGACAATGCCTGATCTAATGCTTTGTGAACATTCCGAACGTCACGACTCGCTAGTGCCTAAGCCTTCATCACAGTGACACTAATACAGGTATTGTTTGTCAGAAAGATGATTGTTTTGCGCAGGATATGCATGGTGTTACACAACTATAATGGCATAGGAATTTCCATTTTTTTAAGTTTCGTCATGAGCCTTGACTACCACTCAAGTTTGAAACTAAGGTTAAGTATACATTCGTAAAGTATAAAAGTTTGTATATGAATTAAATGTCACATTATATCAATCGGATTTTGTTGAGGGATAGTGATCCAATGAGATCATCCTATAATGGAAAGTGCAGCGTGGTAGATCATAGACCCTAAAAGCATATACATCATAACAAAAGGTTTGTCTGGGTAACCACTGAGCTGCCACGGCATCATCCATGACAGAACAATCAGCTGACACTTATAACTTATCAAAGCATCAGTGTCGTGTGTGCTGTGCATGCACAATGCACGCTGTATAACGGTCACTTCGGCTCATTAATTCCATGTTATTGAGAGGCTGTCATCCATGATTTCGATGCGCTAAGAACCGGTTGCTGCAATGGCTTCTCGTTACTAGGTCAAGGCAGGCACGGGTCCTCAAAACTGGCATGACAGGACCCAACTATGCATGCTTGCAGAGCATCGTCTGCAACTGAAAGATATTGTCATGTGAAATAATTTGCAGCTTTTACGATACAAACCCAGGGTTATCTCATATAGCGCTGCACTTAAAGTTCAGTTGATACGTAGGTATGTGCTATATTTTATGCTTATATTTGTTTGCATTTCTGTTTTGCAGCCCTTGAAAGAACAGCTGCACATATGCATGGTAATTTAATTAAATGAATCACGCCCCGCAGTCTGCTAGAAGGAGTGAACTGTGAATCTCCTATTCATAAGCGTCACAAGGCGTTACATAAATTTTTTTACCATACTTCGTACTGGCCGTACGACGATTTGCCCCACAACCGGACCATTATTTGGACACTAATTCCATGAACGTGCTTGCAACTGCACAGTGCACATTTGATAATCGCACTGGTGCCAACAGTGAAAGTGATGTTCTGGCATTCAAATGAGTGGCAGCCAGCGGTCAGTCGGGCTCTTAGCTCAGAGTCGACCTGACATCGTGGCCCTGGCCGCCCTAGAGGCCAGTTTTATGGCGTGAAAGTATTGCGCACCGCGCAGTGTTAACTCGGTAGACACACAGCCACTCAGAGATACAGACCTACTGCGCCTGAGAGATGCAGACACTGCGTCAGAGCTACAGAGACGACGCAAATGAGAAGCTGAAGCCTGAATGACGTGCTAAAATGACGTAGTGCATGGGTATATGAGTGAAAGCTTAGCGTAGAATAAGTCTGATCTACCAGGCCTGATCTCCCACGTGCTTCCAAGGACACTTGTGATCTGATACGACATCGCCAGGCTGCTTAAAAATAGGTACTGTTATACCTCAAATATTGACCTCTATTGTAACCTTTTAGAAGACGTATGCTGCAAAAGTAACCTCTCTGATCTTCATTTTCATATGAGTTACGAAATAACTTATCCTATTCTGCATTGAAATTATTTTAGCACGTAAAACAGCAAAAGAACGAGATATATCCACAAAGCAAGTCATAGTCATGTCCTCGGCCAGCATTAAATCGGTTTTCGAGATGGTCATTTCCCAAAAAAAAAGTTCCCAAAAATGTATCTCTATATAAATCGAAATCAGAAGACAGTTTCCATTTGCTAAGCCCCTATTCCGAAGCTCCCGGTAGTAACCAGGGATTCGAAATCCATGGGTCACTGGGTCAGACACTCGCCTCTACAAAACATTCGTACATAAACAAAACGATGTTATTTGTCTCGAAATGTTATTCAGCATTCAAGTTATGCATTGCACCACCAACGAAATAAAATAAGTACGAAAATGGTATCACAGGAATAATCGTTTACAGGTTTAATGGCACTATTTCACCTCATTGTGACACTACGAGCATTGTTATTTACATAAATTACCAAATGCTTAAATAGCAAATTAATTACCATCAAGGCCACATGCTCCAATTGTCCACAAAGAACCACATTTTGTACCATTTCGAAGATGCAGTCTTCCCAAGTCTTGACTCTCCCTACTCATTCCCTCCTTCATTCCGGTATAGCCTGGGAAACAACAGAACCAGTAGAATTACATTACCACACCCCTTCACCCTGTCATCTCAAACATTTCATATCTACTCGTAAGCATCCCCTTCCGCTTCTCCATGGACATGATACTCGAGTTTTAAGAGGTCCGATTGCGTTGGTCATCGGTGTCTATCCACAAACGTGACGTCGAGGTCTTCAGTCACCCTCACGACCTCAGTCACGGTCTAAGACGCGACGTTCGAGCTCCCTCAGACGCGACGTTCGTGCTCCCTCAGACGCGACGTTCATGCTCCCTGATCACCGGACGAGATACGCCGTTGTCGGACTCGTGGTTGTGGTAGATCTGGAAGTTCGATTTGAACAGGTTACTCCTCAGGATACTCCGGATGTGCGGAGACTCGGCTGGCGGCGCACGACCCAGAGGCACCACGCTATTCACAAACTGGTCCTCCTCAGAGGCGTCTGGGAAGTACAGAGATCCGTCGGGACGTGCCACAGCTACAGCCAGCAGCAGCAGGCACACGCAGCACGTGGAGAAGAGACGCAGCATGGTCTGGAGAGGTATACGCGGTGGTGAAGACGGCGTTGAAGGCACTCTCGGAGGCTGTTGCTGTTGTGGACACAGACCGTATGCTTAACACAGCAGAGGTTGAGTTATATGCCGGTTCACACGGTATTTCAGATCGTCGAGCTGTGGATTCCTTGAAGTCACACCTTGCTCCTGGCTCACCGAAGATCAGACCGCCTCGCTCCTAAATGCGCGCGATCCTCCGCTGCGGGACTATCTCTGCTGCTCAGCGCGGCAGACCTCGCTCACTTATACCTACCTGTGGCCAGTGACGTCATCAGTCTCTACGTCACGCGGTTGCTGCTTTGACGTAACTGGCTGGAAGGCTTGGACGGTGGGTCATACCGGTCCAGGAATCATCGCCGGTCCAGAGCGGCTACATTCGGTTCCGAAGAGAGGTCAACAGATTCTCCGTATAGTGATATGTGCCATTTGGCTAGAATGAACGGAGCTGAGCCTTCACTCGAATGTAATTTTAACTTTGAAGATGATCAGCGGTAATGCTAAACTATGCAGCTTCTATAAATCTCATGATATATTACGTATAATATATTTTGCGTAGGATATTTTAAGGGAATCGAGGAATATGTATCTTGTCTCTATACCTATGTAGTGTCCAATTATCAGATAATATAAATCAAAGATAAGTCATTCACAAGCATCAATCTGTTAGCTGCTACTGAGCTAAAGGTCGCAGGTCATAAAGCTCATCCTGAAATGGTTTGGATATATGACTCTGATGATACTGCTGATTATAGGTAGCCACACTAAGCTGCTTATATGCGTTTTTAAATAACCTATGAAAGAGCTCGTTTATTGGGAATTATCATGCTGAAAATAGCCGCAACAAGGCCCCGGCCTAGCTCCCCCTATACCTACATATACATGCTTTATACGAGTACAACTCCACATGTGGCTTCCATAAACCGCTCTGTCATCAGTCATAAAATCCCACCAGACGCGTGCCCATCTTCTCGAGTGACGCCACCGCCCTTCCACCCACAGAAACCGAGTCTGAGGTACCGGGCGTTTGCGGAGGTCATGCGCGACAACTACCGCATTCAGTTGGCGGAGATCGCGGCGGCATCCGCCCAACAACAGGTCGAGACGGAAAAGTCGGCCAAAAAGAAAAAGAAGTGAGACAGAAGAAGATGGAATGACGCAAAAAGGAAGCGGTCAAGATGTGTCGTGATTGAAGTTTGGTGGTGAATAAATTGATGGCGAGTTAAATTGGTGCCTAATTCACGGCGGATCGAATTGCTCGAAAACATTTACGTGAATTTTATAACTTCAGTCGTCTCATTGTTTGCTTTCCCACCGTTCCTAAGACATTTGAGCGGCACAAGAATCGGTAATTGTTTCCGCGCAAATCTACTGTTACTTTAAATATTGTTGCCAATTACGGTGCACGTATATATCTAATGAGCGATTTATAAAGGGCATCCTGCGCTGCAGTTAGATAGGTTTTCATGGATAGACATTTTTCACCCATTAAGCAATATTCGAGCCCAATATAATGAGCGCTGCATCCGTGCCGTATTGCGGTTAAGGCCACTTCCAAGACTAGACGACGATGAGAGAACGGAACTTCTGGGAAATAATCACCAAATCGGCAAACTATTAAATAAATGAAGGTGAAACCTCAAATGAGTGTCAGATTGCATCAATATCCCGAATCCAAGACTGAACGTCTGCAGCGCCCTTGTCAAGCCCAAAGCCTTACGGAAGAAGCTGTAACGTAAGGATGGTATACAGATAATAACCATTACCGAAACAGGGACCTTAATCACGCACCCCTACAGCGCCACGTAAGGGCACTAGCGCTTAGACACTTCGCCGGACAGAGGGCGCCAGCAACATGCTATGAGCTTAGTCAGCTCACCACCATCACGTTGAACAAACCAAAAAGAAACAAGACCAATTCAAAGTCCACCAGCCCACCATAGCTCGCTTTGGTAGACCATATACTCTACCCTTTCAACTGGTGCGCCATTTGTGGCTCCAAAAAATTATTCCATGATTGGCGATTTCATACGCAGCGGAATTATAACGTGTACAAATTGTATTATTTTTCCTACACTCCATATGTAACACATATCACGTGTAATAGAGATACACTGCAATCAGGTGGGCGACAGAAACCGTACGAGCGTTTAGGCAACACCCGCACGGCCCTGCGCCCTTTGACACCGATTCGAGGTCTATCTCTTGAGGATCACTACAGCACAGACGCCCAGCAGCGGCGACAAAACATTATAAAATCACCGGTTTTGTACCGCTCACCGTCCACGCTCACACATCAGCATAAAGCACAGAATCCCTCGATCTCAGTGGAGGCCCGGCCTAGAAAGAGGCAGCGGCCTAACCCTGATCAACACGTAACAAGCTTGCTCTGCATCTGGCCCGGCTCGCACCACTGGCGACACCGGCTCGGCCGAAAATTACACTAGTCAGCTCTCTATTGCATCCTATAGCCATAAAGGCGCTTCCGAAGTGCCATGGTGTAACATAGTGGGTGTGTATATTGCCATGGCTGTGCGGTGGTATGGCCCACCACTCAAAATGAAGTTTTACCTTCAATAGCCAAAGGAGGGATTAAAAAGATATGACTGGATAACAGTAACTGAGCCAAAAGAAAAGGGACCAATAAAATAGTTTTTAAAAAAAAATTAACTTCATCCGGTCCTTTGGGAGCATGTCAACGTTTTCTTCGCTTTTCAATTATTCCACGGTTTAGCTGTTTTGTATCATTTTCTGGCAGCACCACTGCCGGGCACATGGACGGCAGTCCCTTCCATCGCCGACCCAATGGCACTATCGGACTGCCTCGCCTTCCCATAGGTCAGCAAACAGTCACTGACTCGCTGACCTCCCTCTTCAGGCCACCCCACTAACACAGGGCAGCTCAAACTCGGCTAGGTGGGCACTTATCTGCCACGGTGAGCGGTCACTCGCTGTCGTGTAGACTGAACAGCTTCGACAGCTCGCTGATCTCTTCAGACTTGCGACCCTCCTTGATGATCTGCGGGAAAGGGTCGTCGCGTCAGTCTCTACTGAAGACTTACGGGGGACACTGGCATGTAGACAGAAAAAAAAAAATGTTCGGAAGAGGAGACGAGGCGAGTGATTTTTGTAACGATGAAACATTACGAATGATTTCATTGATGTGTAGCTCGGTATTATCCACAATCATCCAAGTCGAGGTAGATCAACTTGGGAGTGTATGCGTGCATGTCAACACAATTATTCGTAAGAATACATCGGAAAAGGGATATGAACGATTCAAACAAGAACCACGGCACCACTCGTCTGTTTATGTCCTTTCTCACCTTCCTGGCGATGGGCATCTTGTTGAAGACGTTCCAGAGCACGAGGCCGACGATGGTGTCGTTGCGAGTGTAGAAGACGACTCCCTTGCCGTACTCCTCGCCCTCCTGGGGCGGCCGGAGCTCGGACGGGGCTGACTGTGGCAGCGATTCCGCAGCCTGGCACGGATAGACGGGGTCAGAGGGTGGGTGAGACTACAGGTCACGGCATGGACAGTGGACACGGGCTGGGAAGGCAGGGTCACGGACTACAGCTGTGGGTAGCGACTTATGGCATAGCGCATCCGTTAGATATTAACCGGGGCTCTAAACCATCATTTCGGGCGCCAAAATAATCATTTTGACCTCGAGACAGCGTAAAACGATACTTTTGGCATAGCTACCGTTATGGCGGCCATTACACCTAAACACCTCAGAGAAAAACATTAAGTCACTACAGACATCACTATTCAATCGTTATAACAGCTCAGACTAGCGATACACATTCCACACCAAACAAAATAAACAAAGTCCATATCACACAGCCACCAACACCTCGCCCATGACTGTCGTATACAGCAATACTGATCGAATTCGCCCTCCTCCCCGCATTTTAAATTGTTCTACGATCCTACTTCCCCGCTCGGTTCTCACCTGTTCCGTTTCGGAGCGGACGCCCTCGCCCGTGGCCTCGACCACCGCCTGGGGTGTGTCCTTGGCCGTCGCCTTGGCGAACACGCCCACCGTCGGCAGCGTCGCGTCGACGATACCGATCGCCTCGTAACCTACGTCAGGGCCGAGATCCGACCAGAACATGGACTGGTGCCAGTACGGCTTCCCTGAAAGGGGAGTAACAAAGAGTCAGATGAAATGAACGGTCAAAAGCAGGGCTGCGGAGTCGGAGTCGGAGTCGGAGTCGGAGTCGGTCGGAGTCGACAGTTGTGACCGGAGTCGGAGTCGGAGTCGGAGTCGATTTTAGAAACCCGAGCCGGAGTCGGAGTCGGAGTCGCCGAAAATCTGTCGACTCCGCAACCCTGCTAGGTCTGCGGAGTCGGAGTCGGGAGTTGGAGTCGGTCGGAGTCGACAATTCTGCCCGGAGTCGGAGTCGGAGTCGGAGCTGGTTTTTGAAAGCCGGAGTCGGAGTCGGAGTCGGAGTCGCCGAAAATCCATCGACTCCGCAGCCCTGGACTCAAAAGGTCAATTGAATGAATTGAAGTGGGAGGAGTGAAACCCGAATATAACCGTAGCAGAAAGGCTTGTATAGGTGTAAATGTTGAATCCGATTTACTGCTTTGGCTTGGAATTCCTCCATTCCTCAGAGTCAATCTCTTTCGGCACTCAAACATCACTCAACACTTAGCTACAATTTCCTTAACCTACTCTAGTTAAGCATCCTTCCACCGTCTCTTCCCCTCCCCTGGGTCCGCCCCTTCCGTTACCTGCTCCGGTCATGTTCTCGCCGGCCAGCCGTCCGGATACCACAGCATGGTCGTGGTGCTCCACCCGCCGCCGACCCAGCTGAACGTCAAAGAAGCACGCCGCGTCGCCCGCCTGCCGGGGCGAGGTAGGGTGTTAGAGACAGGAGAGCGATGATAGTAGGGCAGGAGGGGATACTGTAGGGAAGGGAATGGGGTAGAAAAGAGTGAAGACAGGATTTTAAAGATGACCAATGTGGGACTTCAAGATATTTAACTTGGCTGCGTAGAGGGCAGAACCTTCGCTAGACAACATCAGAGAGCCAACGTAGGTGGCAGTGCTGTTCTAGTCGAAGGCATGCCAGCCATGGAATGCTTACAATAACTGCAGCTGAAGTTCGCACATTGTTTTCACAGAGGCACTTAATGACAAACGAGCAATGCTACTCGCAACCAGTGAGCGCTGCGGGTCATGATATCGTACATACGCGTCTGTAATTGCCAAACATTGTCTCATTTAATGACAACAGGCCACTCCAAGCTACCTCATACAGCATAGCTTCCTTGAGTAAGTATTGCTTTCCGTACAGCCCACACTATAACTACTCACCACCCAGAGGTTGGAGCGGGCCTCGAGCTCGGCGTTGACCCGGTACCCGCCGTGTTTGTCGTCCACTTCCAGGCCGGAGGTAGCCGCCAGTTCCGTGCGCGGCTCCAGACCCACCGACACCACCACGTGGTCGGCGGACAGCTGCAGAGGAAGACGGCCGGGCGTCACACGGGAGACAGATACATCACACAACTCGTAGGAATATATCACGATCAACGAGTTTGTCGGCTCTCAGATAAACCTGAATACACACATTTGACAGGGTAATCATGAATCATTCCAGCTCAAAAATCTTGAAATTCCATTTCCATTTCCAATTCCAGCTCAACACTCTTGAAACCCCAAATCCATGACCGCGGCACGTATCTTCGTGCTAGGCTCCTCACATCTCCCCACAAATCCTCTTCCCTTCTCCCTCTTCCTCTCACCTTCTTTCCGTCGTTGAGCGTGAGCACCACCTGGTCTCCGTCCCGCTCGGCGCTCTGTACCGAGGTACCGGTCAGCACCTGGACGCCCTCTGCCGCCACCTTCCGCGTGGTCCAGTTACTCAGGTACTCCGGCAGCACGCGGCCCATGTTACCCGGCTCCGGGAACGACTGGGTGACGCTCATGCCAGTCTGCTTGCCTGTGGGGAAGGGATGGCGGGATAGTCAATACACCCATGAGAGGAGGTTTCATTCCAAGAATTATCAAATGCGTCCTCAGTCTGAACAATTGAGACCACCCACAAATAAGTCTGAATAGCTAAAAGTAGCCTGAGAGCGCAAAAAAAAAACACACACACACACATACACTAAAAGGATAACAAAACGTCGCTGGATATGCCTTGATGTCCCTTTAGATTGACCTCGATCACAGTAACTTCATAAAACTGAGTCCAAATTAGTTCGCAGATCCCCTCCCTTGTTCATCCGACCCACCGCACCCCGCACGTCACATCCACCATACCTTTCCTGCCGAGCGCGCAGGCCAGTTCGCTGCCCAGGAAACCACCTCCGATGATGACCAGCGACTTGGCGTTGTTGACAACCTCGTCCAGCCGGCGGTAGTCGTCAATGGTACGGAATAGCGTCACCTTGTCCTTGACCGGCTCCAGCGCGGGCATTGAGCGCGGCTGGCCGCCTGGCGCAGCGGGAGAGGGGACGTCATTATCAGTAATCACTACGACAGAACTCAGCCCGTTACAGTCAGAGTCAGAGTCAGCTAAGTCAGAGTCAGCATCGGACTCTGCACCACTGCCAGAATCTGCCAACGTGGCAGTGGCATTCAGTCAGCAAGTTTGAGTTAAGCATTATTCAGAGTCGGTGCCAAAGTCAGCATTAGTTTCGAGTTTCGACATCGGAGATTAGCTACTCGGATCTCACAGAGGGCGTATCTATCGCTGTGGCGTATTTGTCGTCCGAGACGTGCTAGCGCTGAGATGGATACTATGGCGAGACGTTAGCCATTCGTATAACTAGCAGTCGACCAAACACCGCAGCAGCGTCCCTTCCCCTCCCTCCACCTCCCTCCGCCCATATTTTACCATCCACTCTCACGTACCTGTTGCCAGCAGACACTTGTCGTAGGTGATCTCTGTGCCATCGTCCAGGTAGGCGCGTCGCTTGGTCACGTCCAGCTTGACCACGCGCCTGCCGGCCATGACGGCCACGCCACCGTTCTCTCGGATAGCGAGGTCGGCAGGACTGCAGTAGAACTCAGACGGCTCGAAGAAGATGCTGCGAGCGGAAACGGAAGTGATTAAGTGCGTGCGGCTGAATGAAACTGGAGAGCATGACTCAGACGGGGACACGGGGTGCAAAGAAAAAGAGAAGGGAGAGAGGGAGAGAGAGAGAGAGAGAGAGAGAGAGAGAGAGAGAGAGAGAGAGAGAGAGAGAGAGGGGGGGCGGGAATCAGTGATGTAGAGGAGAAAGGAATACGGAAAGAGCGAGACGCAGCACCTATGAGGTGAAAATAAAAAAGTCCAAAACAGTATCGAAATTACCTCCTGTCCTTGCCGTTCCACTGTTTGAACTTAAGCGTCTTGGGTGTGTCGGCGTCCTCAGAGAACCAGAGTTCTTTGGAGAGAGGCGGCCTCATGTACGGGTTGTAGTTCTCCTCAGTGACCACAAGAACCTGGCATAAAAAAGCAGAATGATTAAATGGAAAGCACAAATGCAATAGCAAAATAGCAACGAAATAAGAAAGTACTGAAAATGACAAGTTGATGGATGCTTTCACAAACAAAAATGTTACAATATCATCGGATTCGATCTGCGGAACACACCTTAGCTTTGGCGTCTTTGGCTTTGATGGCCCGGAAAGCAGCGAACGATGCAGTGCCACCGCCCACCAGCAGGTAGGGCACATGGGCGGGCACTTCAGGCAGTGGCGCAGCCTCCTCGGCCGAGGCGGGCGTCTCTCCAGCCGGCGCCGCGGCAGGGGTAGGGGCCGGGGTAGGGGCCGGGGTCTCCTTGGCAGGAGCAGGGGAAGGTGCGGGGGCCTCCTCAGTCGGGGCCGGGGCAGAGCCGTCAGACTCAGGTACGCCGGTGCGCAGGTTCATCTTCTTCAGGTCTGGTGTGGTGTTGAGCACAATGAGGCCGCTCTCATATGCCTGGCGGATAAACAAGATATGGTGATGTCAATCCCCGCCGCGGTCTGCTGGATAGCGACAGAAGAGTGACACAAACGATAAAAAGACGGCCTACAAAAGGTGCCCAGTCTATGAAAGACTAGCAATTCTGCTTTTATCCAATGAGCAAACAATGGCTGAAAAACTGAGATGAGGCAACATTAATATTGATCACACATTACATAAATTAGATAGGACGAAAGTTCACTACAAAATCGTCACTGCAATGTGCACGCCGACCTACCACTGACCTCTTCATTTCTCAGCATATTGATGGTACGCAGATTAATCAGTTTAGATTGATTTAGATAATTAGTCATTTGTCACAACTTTCCTGTGCATTTCAGCGTCTCCTAGAGTCCCTGTAATTTTATGACGCCCAAACTCCAGCCGCCTTCGGTTACAGTCCCCCGCTCAAGACCTCGCGCGCTACTCACCACAAACGCCGTCACGCCGAAGAAGGCCAGACCACCGGCCAGGGTGAGGTTGTAGTTTTTCTGCTTGTTGGCATAGTGCTGCTGCCAGGATCCGCGCGGCACCGGCAGATCGTTCATCGTTATCGGCTTGTACGGCTCCTGTTTGTAATAGCGTCGTCCTGTTCCTAGGACCAGGCAGATGCGGTGTCTCAGTAACGAGCAGTCCTGATACGTGATAAATATAGTCATGAGGTGATTAGTGCACCAATCACCGGAATCGCAGACTCTAACCTCGAGATCTTGTGGATCGCTGTGCACGCTAACAAACGACTGACATTCCTTATAGCATCAGCATATCGCGTGCCGCAGAACACATCCCGACAGCTGACGGCCGACCTGGACGATCTTGAAGGGCAGCTACAGCATATGATTACGTCTTACCCGAACGCTAAAATTATTCTAACCGGTGATTTGAACTGTTGCATATTGAAATGTGACACTGCTAGTCCAGGTCATAAGCTTCAGAGAATGTTATCTTCTTATGGGCTACATTTGTGTAACCGGACTCACCCCACGTACAGGCCCGCTGCCAGTCTGCTCGATGTTGTCGCTGTCGCGTGTCCTGATCTCGTTCAGCGCACTGGAGTCACTAGGTGCCACTACGGCACCCCGCACGACTTTACTCGCATAGTGTTGCGACCCAGCCGTCGGCCTATTAACAGACCTGGCCCAGTCTCTCATCGCCGCAACCTAGTGAGAGTAGATAACGACGCGTTCAACCAACGTCTTTTCTACGCGGACTGGACCCCTCTCATCCATGGCCAGACCACAGCAGAGAAGTGGCGGACGTTTCTGGATATTTTTCTACCGATGCTGGACGAAGTGGCCCCTCTCCGACGAGTACAGCAGCGTCAGATCAGGAGTACGCCAATCAGCGCCGACACCAAGCGGCTTATTGACCGTCGCCAGGTGGCGCTGCGTAACGACCTGCCAGAGTACAAGGACGTCAACAGGCAGTGCCGCGCGGCGATCCGTAAGGATTGTAAGGCACACTTTCAGAGGCAGCTCGCTCAGGCTCGGCCGCACGACCTGTGGCGAGTGTTGCGGCCGCTCATTGGTGCTAAAAGCAAACATTCGTCGATACCCAACGCTACTCCTGACGCTCTCAACAATTATTATGTATCGGTAGGACGGACTACAGCGGCCAGCGTTCCTACCCCGGCCAACCCAGTGCCGGTGAGGCTGCCGCGTATCTCAACCAGCTACTTCTGTGTACACGCCATCGACATGGACACGCTCTTCGCGACCCTTGCTAGCATGAAGAGCTCCACGTCCACTGGTACCGACGGCATCAGTGTTCATATGATGCAGAATTTTTTCGAAGGACTAGGACATGCTCTACTGAATATAACCAACTCGTGCCTGACTACCGGCGACATACCAGCTGAATGGAAACATGCGCTGGTGACACCTATACCCAAAGGCAAAGTCAGCAGTGAGCCATCGAACACGCGACCGATTTCCATATTGCCTGCAGCGATGAAAATAGTCGAGCGTGTAGTGCAACGACAGCTGGTCACCTACCTCGAGAATAGCCACCTGCTGTCTAGTACTCAGCACGGGTACCGGAGAGGCTACTCGACTGACACTGCCCTGCACGTCGTCACTGACAAGGTTCTGCGGGCGATGGATAGCGGAGAGGTGTCGTTACTTGTGCTAATCGATTTATCTAAGGCTTTTGACGTTGTGCCGCACGACAAGCTGCTCGAGAAACTAGCGCTGTACGGTGTGAACCCGAAATGGTTTGCGAACTATCTGTCAGGCCATACGCAACAAGTGCAGGTACGCCGCAGTGACGGAAGCGTGTGTTTCTCACAGACAAAGCCAAACAGTATCGGTGTGTACCAGGGCGGGTCGCTCAGTTGTGCATTGTACACGCTGTACACAAATGACCTCAGTCTGTACGTACCTGAATCCGTGACCGTTGTGCAGTTCGCCGACGACACACAACTCCTGGTAACGGGTAAGAAGCAGGACATTCATAGCATGGTAGAGACGATGGAGCAGGCACTGGACTCTTTATATCACTGGTACTGTTCTCATGGAATGAAGTTGAACGCGACTAAAACACAGATGATCGTGATTGGAACGCCGGCTATGCTGCGACATATGCCCGCCGTTCAGCTGAAATTCTGTGGAGCGGCTGTAAACGACAGCAGAGTAGTGAAAAACCTCGGCGTCATCATCGACAGACACCTGACCTACCAGTCACATATTGACGAGATGACACGTAAATGCAACGGCGTCCTCGTTGCGCTGAGCCATGCGAGACATGTGATCCCAAGGCGTGCGCTGAAGCCAATAGTTCAAGCTCTTGTTATATCAATCGTGAGATATTGCATGTCAGTGTACGGGACTTGTGGCCAGACCCAGTTACACCGCGTTCAGAAGATTCTGAACTTCTGTGCACGTGTAGTGTCCGGGAAACGAAAACGGGACCATATCTCCGATGTATTCCACGATATGGGGTGGTTCACTGCATCTGAGATGGCGATGTACTGCCGCGTGTGTAGTTTGCGCAGCGTTCTTGTCAGTGGTCAGCCCGAGGAAATAGCCGACACGCTCGGTCAGACGGCGAGACAGAGACACGCTCATAATACGCGACGCGCCTCTGAACTTGCTCTCCCACGCATCCGAACTGAAGCAGGACGACGCAGGCTGTGCTATGGGGCTGTGCAAGCTTTCAACCAGCTCCCAGTTACCGAGCCAGGTGTGTCATTCAAACACCAGCTAAAGCAGCATATTTTTAATATAAGGAGTGTTTAAACATCGTCACGTGCATCCGTGTGGCCACTTTGGCTTTGGCCGACCTCTTCCTGTTTTTTAACGTTTGAATTGCTGACGTGCGATTGTGAAAAACCATGTGTGTTAATGTGGATCTTTCGCCAAATAAATCTGAAATCTGAAATCTGAGCACAGCAAGTCTCTCAGCTTAACTGTTCAAATGGTCATGTCTGGTAAGAAATTGCATTAAATCTGATCGTTATCAATCACTTATCAACCCATCTTCTTAGCATAAAAAATTGCTAGTGCAGGTGACTTCACAAGTGGTTGTGGTTTACTGTGGTTCACAAGTGGTTTACTGAAGATGGTTGTAGACACAACGTAGGTCTGAGATGTTGGAGGATTGAGATATGCAAAAAAAGCATAACATGTCTCAGAATTAGCCTCATGGTAAGACAAGTAGGTACTTACTTAAATTCACCAATTGCACATATAACCAATTACAGCGATACCAAACGTAGATCTGCTCTGTCAAACAGAGAGCAAACAGCACTGCCAACATACAATGAGGTGTTTTAATACCAACCCCCTCAGCAGTCCACTTCCTCATACAGTCGTGTACAGGTTGATGGTCCGCTACTCTTTATCCACCGGGTTCCTATGGCTCAGCATTGGCAGCAGCCGCCTGGTACCGGTAGGCTGTGCCGCATGACCCGAGAGTGAAGCGGCACAGTCTACCCACGCCGTTTGACATCGGCTCGGGTCGCCGGGTGGAGCGCTTTGTAGACCAGCTGTTGCGTCAGACCAGCGCGGGGGGAGGGGCTCGTGTCGGTGCACTGTGGGGACTTTGCCCCTGCTAGCACGACATTACTCCTGCGGCGGTACGCCGCAGTCAGCTGATCGCCGCGGCGCCGGGCAGCGCGGCGGAGCGCTGGAAGCCACGCGACATCTTCTGCTTTGATGTCTCGTAGTAGCTGTTTGGGCAAAATTGGGCAAAAGATAAGAGTTGATTCCAATGCAGAATTAATAGGAGAATATTTTGATATGTGTTTCCACACGTAACCCCTGCGGCGGTACACCGCAGTCAGCTGACCGCCGCGGCGCCGGGCAGCGCGGCGGAGCGCTGGAAGCCACGCGACATCTTCTGCTTTGATGTCTCGTAGTAGCTGTTTGGGCAAAATCGGGCAAAAGATAAGAGTTGATTCCAATGCAGAATTTATGGGAGAATATTTTGATATGTGTTTCCACACGTAACACCGCGTAACTCACTTTGTAAGCCTATGATTTGCCGAGTCAAATCTCCGAGACGAGTGGCATATTAACATTTTTTGTATTTCATTCAAAAATCATACCTTTGGATTATTTTTCGAACTTTTTATGCATATGCTCGTATTCCTCATTAAATACAGATTATGAAAACATGTCGCAACATCGAATTGGTGCTTGATTAAACGAGTGAGCAGGCGTTCCGTTGTCATGTTATTTTTCACCTTATCCTAGGAGCACGGTGCTAGTGAGCTCAACCCTTCACTTTGTGACGTATTTTGATGTATAAGTCATCATTTTTAAAGCGATTGAAGGTCGGATTCGGATACACTGGACAGTTCTGCGTAGAAAGAACATAAATAAAGTGTAAATCAAAATATTCGTATTTGCCCCTTATGTCGTGCTAGGATCGCAAAAGTCCCCACGGTGCGGTGGTTGGCGTGGGCTGGCGAGTGGTGTGGGGCGTGTTGGTGGACCATGGGGGCTGGGCGGGTGTGTGTGGTCACTTGCTGCATTGCACATTTTGCGTCGCTTAACAATTGCATTCCTGTTTTTGCTAAGCACAATGCACGGAAGACCCAGCGAATATAATTTACTTTACTTGCGCATGTTGTGCAAAACGTGATTTGGCACGGTATCGAGGCAACCATGGGTCTTGTTCCACATATATGCATGATATTTAGGTAATAGGGGAGAGTGGGGCAAAGCGGCCACCCTAACGTTTCTAACGATGCCGACGCTTGATTTTTAAACTTGGAAAGATTCTTTCTATACCAATGTGATCCCTATTAAATTGTCTTTTATTCCAACTGCGTTTCATTTCCAAAGGCGTTCACATATGGGAGATATTGACAAAACTTTAAACCTATAGCATATTGGCCACTTTGCCCCATCCCTGAGGCAAAGCGGCCACTGGCGACTTCTCAAGTCCCGATATGAGAAACAGAATAGTTGCCTCATGCACGACTAGGGTATTTGATGGTGACAAGGTTTAAGGGAAGATGGATGTTTACTTTGTTATCTTCCCACCTATTGCTAAACAAAGAAATAATTTTCTTGGAAAAACATTTAATTGCATAATTTGGTAACTCATGTAACCGAAAAGTGGCCAAGATGAATGCATGACGACACATTTGAATATAAATAATGTTTTTATCCAGATGGAAACAACTTATGGCCAATTGGGGGCTGGCCACTTTGCCCCGGCCGCTTTGCCCCGCGCTACCGTCCGAGACAAAAATATTCCAGCTCAGCTATTAGTGGGGTAAAAAGCATTAAAATTGGTAGAAGGCATGTACGATAACCACGCAATGCATGGACAAAAACGCTTATAAAAATTCCAAACGGTTATGGAATAAAATAACATTTAAAAATTGTAAACATAATTGGTAACCTGGCAAGAAATGCTTTTCCGTGTTTCACAGAACAATGGCGATGGGCCTGAAACCCCGGTCTGGCTCATTCGAACGACCGCAAAGAGAAGTATAATTGGAAATCATAAATTGGAACTGACGCCAGCTGTGGAGGGCTAAAACGATGGATGGCCGCTTTGCCCCGGGTGGCCGCTTTGCCCCACTCTCCCCTACGTTTATGAAAATGGTAGATTGACCCTGGATGTCAATTCGTATGCTAAATGTCGACATGTATCAAATGAACGAATGAATCAATCAATCAATCAATCGACAATCGACATGTAGGTATAAAAGCGTATAAATGGCTCGCAACCACTAAAATCAAGCAAGATCCTAACTCGGAAAAGTAGCCGGAGCCCCGATGAGGCTCGAACCGGGACTCCACGTTGAAAGTTTTGCCAATGATCCATCATCATTCCACCAAGCTAGAGCGACCGGCACCCGAAACCACAAAAACATTCATTGACTTTGCTGCCGACCGCCCGGCCCCGCCGCCCGCCCGGCCCCGGACTTTGCCCTGGCCCAATCCGCGATCCGGTGTAGCTCAGCGTAGGAGTGCTAGACTATCAAACTGACCGGTAGTGAGAGGCCCGGTTCGAAACGCTTCGCGTGCTGGGTGTTTATTTCTGTGTGGGAGGCTTTGCGATTAGTCCACTTTTCAAAAAGATTATTTGGTGACCGACTTGTTTTCTTTCTTTGCTGCTGCAATTCATGAGGAGATCGTATGGACCCTTACCTGTCCTTCCGCACCCCACTTGGGAGATGGATGTGTGAACCCCCCTGGGTTTTGTGAATATATCTAGAGCGAATTTTTGGAGGGTGGATTACGATTTGTTCTATGCGACAAGTGACCACACACACCCAGCCCCAGGTCCGCTCACTCCCTCCCCACATCACCCTCGCCCACACCACACTCCAGCCCGCCTCATTCACCGAGCCGAGCCAAATCGACAGGCCTGACCCTTACCCTCCCCCACAGCCAGTGTAACGCAGCGTCCGGTCAAATCGCTCTACCAGGCGACCCGAGCCGGTGTCATACAGTGTGGGTAGGCTGTGCCGCTTCACTCTCGGGTCATGCGGCACAGCCTACCGGTACCAGGCGGCTGCTGCCAATGCTGAGCCATAGGAACCCGGTGGATAAAGAGTAGGGGACCATCAACCTGTACACGACTGTACCATTAAAGGAATACTCACTGGATCCATTTTTAGCTGCATGCCTAAGACCAGTAAGGATGTTTGATGCAGCATGAGGAGATCTGTGCAGCGCCTCAACACAACGGAACATCTGAAAACAGCAGTGCAAAAGTGCTTTGAAACATGTTTTTATCGATAGCATGACATTGATTTGTATTGGCTCAACGAATCAGCTCAGTTGGGGAACTACGAGGCGAAAAAAAAATGATTGGTCAATAAATGAACTTTTGATGATCATGTATCGACACATATGCAGCCCTCGCTACTAAAGGTGAAAAACGGTATAACAAGCCGGTACTTGCGGTATCGCGTCCACTTATCGGAGAGAAAAGGCTTCCATTTTCCACTAGGAACTAGCGTGATTTGATTAAATTTGGCGAATTGACTCGAAAATGGCGATAGGAAAATGGCTTTTCTGCAGGTTCTGGGCGTCACAATCAGCTGGCCATTCAATAAATGGATTGGTGTTTTGAAAGAAAATTGTTAAAAGATTTTATTTGATTACAATAAACAAAGATTTTAATTTCAAAATAATAACTCAACCATAATTAGAAAAACCATAAACAAAATAATAAAAATAATGACATTTTTAAGCCACGGTACTGCTTATTTTTTTGGCGCGTCTGTTTCAATCGCCATATTTGCCAATCACTGTTTGACCTTGTGTAATGTGTTGTAACTCTGCAATTTAGAGCCGCCAGTTAATTGTGCACCGAGAGAGTGTAGGCCTTGTGTGGTTAAAAACATTACCGTAAAATGGGGTGTTAAGGGACAGTTTTGAGGTGTTTTGTTATATAACTCAAGAAGGGTTGGAGATAGAAGCATCAAATTGTCAGCATTTTATGTGGAATTTGGTGCTTTACATGCCTGCCACATTAAAGTTTTTAAGATTTATACCTGCATATTATTTTTTATTATTTTTCATCACTGTCCCTTAGCACCTCAATGTGGGGTGTTAAGGGACACCTATATTATTCCAAGAAATGGTCATCAAATGCCCACAATTGGGGTGTGGAAGGGCACACAATTTATTTATTGAAATGTTTTGCATATTCTGTCGCAAAACAAGTCAGGTTCATTCACCACTAATGACCTTTTTAGCCAATTACGTGTAATGCAGTTAACGCTTGTGGAAAATGTGCTAATTATAAGGTAAACAGAACCAAAAAGTAATCTTCTGTCATCAATAAAAACCCATGTTGAAGCTAGTCACTTGTCATTATGCTGCCCTCTTTGTTTTAGTCTTTTTATGATGACACCACATTTACCTACATCAGTCTCCATTGACCCATCATTGTAAAAGAGTGTTGAGATGTTTTGTTCCATAACTTAAGATGTGTTAGAGATAAAAGCATGAACTTGCCAGCATTTTATGTGGAATTTGGTGTTTTCCATGCCTACCGAAAGAAAACTTAATGAAATTATATTTAGATATTTTTTCTTCCCTGTGCCTTAGCACCCCACATCCACCTCAAAATATGCATGTATCCGGAAAAGAGGAAGAGGATGATGAATGAATGGGTGGATTTGCACAAGTTTTTCAGGAAACATGTGCAATACATGTGACAATACACCTATGCATTCATTTTCCCTGTACACACACTAGTTTATGTGGTACACACAGAGTTTTGGAGATGTTTCAATTTTGTGAAAATGTAGCATGATTTTCAAATCCATTTTTGAACCAAATCACTTGCATGAAAAACCATACCATTTTGTCCTATGGTCAATAGCAAAACAGTGTCAACTACCACACTGAAGTTTTTATTGAACCTTCTCAAATTAGGAAGTTAATATGACTCAAAGTTTTTCCCATGCAACTGTCCCTTAACACCCCACTGTCCCTTAAAGGAAACAGTTCACTTTCCTGAAATTAGTATTTTGCTATTGATTTATGATTGTTTATGCTCAAAATGATCATGAAATAAAATAAAACCTTTTTGTAAAAACAATTATTTTCTATATTTTAATATAGGACGAACTATATTCTATGTAAAATAATGTTTGACGCGGAAGCTTATTGCGCGTTGACCAATCATATCGCGTAGTTCAAACCTACGCATACTGCATTGGCTGTAAGCAGCATGCTGATTGGCTGACGATGACGTGGCTGCATTCCTGTGCAAGGCACGCATTCCTCTGCAAGGCACTCTTTTCGGAACGAGAAATGGAATATCTTCGTCTAGGGTGATCGTTGAGCCGTAAAAGCTCCTGATTTGTGCTAGTCTCAGCCCAAGCTACGAAACTGCTATTCCAGTTCAAAACCCCATGTTAAAAGTGAACTATTTCCTTTAACACCCCATTTTACGGTATGCCTTATTTTTTCATTTGAATGTTAGGATGCATTGAAAAGATGAAGTTGTCTGATTTTATGACCATATATGGTCATCGCCCTGCCCACTCCAGCCGTTGATTGGCTGATCCAATTTTTGTTTGGCTCCTCGTAGTTTCCCCAACTGAGCTAGTTGCAATGTGACACTACCATTCACTGCTGTTTCAATCATCACCTCACTTTGATATAGCACCTAGGCTACATCATAAGTCAGAGGCAATAGTACCATAAGTCATAGGCAATAGTTAAGTGCCATTTTCATACAAAATTTTATTTTGAAATAATAAATAAATAGGTAGGTACTAGGTAGGTAACAATCACAATCAACAAAGGAATATATTTAGCAGACATGTGCATGGATCCGAGTGATGGATCTATGATCTCAGTGGATCTCGAAGCAAAGTACATGTTTGGATCTATGATCCCACCGGATCCGGCGTGAAAAATACATCTTGGATCTATGATCTCATATGATCTGACGACAAATTAAGAACATGGATTTATGATCTGAGTGGACCCCACCAGGCACGGCACCACATTGTGGAACCTTGTTTTAAAGGATTTCTATGCCAATAAGTCACACAAAACTATGGATTATAACGTGCGATCACATAAAATCACTAAAACAGAACGTTTGTGAGTTGAAACAAGTGCTTTTTTGGGATTTATGTGTTGACAAAAAATAAGTGAGGATCTATGATCTCACTGGATCTCAAGCAAAAAATGAGACTCGGATATGTGATCCCTACGGATCTCTTGATAAATTACAGAGCTGGATCTATGATCCCGTAGGATCTGAGATCAGGATCCGTGGGATCAGATCCCAGATCCATTTTCTTGGATCCATGCACATGTCTGATATTTAGGATTAATCATGTCATATACAACTTATTGCCCTGCCTAGAGAAATTAACATATTTTCCAGAGTCAGACAATTGCAATAGACATGAAACTTTTAAAAGAAAAACAGATAGTTCCATGAAAGCAGCATAGAATCAGTTATAAGAGGCCGAAATAAAATGTAAGTAAAGCGCCAGAAATGAAAGAGTTCGATGAAAACGGAAAATACAGACAGAAACAACACACTGAAAGCACATTAGTGTTGCATTTTTATTCCTTACCTTGCGAGTTACAGTTCCTCCGCGAATTAATGCGAGCAACAACAATCTTAATATTTATCTACCCCAGACACGAACGCCGGCCACGATTTCCCAAACACAAGATGTAAAATACAGGTGGCGCTGCGATCGGAGGCAGGCTTGCACTATTATGCTGCCTAAGGCAGTATAAAGCTGCTATCATGCAGCGGCCCTCCTAACCATAGAAATAGAGCTTCTAAAGCAGCAACCACCAAAAAATACTTCATCAAACCGATGTTATTCGACTCAACACATGCATTCTTCGTTTCCTGAGGAAAATGATCACTTGCGTTAGTCAGCATGATCCGTTTACTTCCGCTTCCCCGTGCGTATTAGGGGGAAAATCGTCAGGGTTAAATCCTGACCTTGCTGTTACGCTTCAGCCCGTTATCTCATTTGTATTCGTCATGCTGCTCCACTGTAACGACCGGTCGTGCGGTACAGTATGCGTCCAGGCGTTCGGCCGCCCCGCGCGGCGCCATGCGATTGGCTGCCGGCCGGATGTCACGTGACCGGTTGGTGGGTCATGGTCGGGCCGCCGCGGCGAGGCAGGCACTCGGTAAGGAACTCTCCCGACGACTATCGTCACCATCGGTATAAGGAGCCACCTTCCTGGCCGGGTCTGGTCTGTTGACAGTGGTCGATAAAACTTCCAACGTGCCAACGCTCGTTGGAGCAAGATATTAGCAATACTTGGAAGAGCTGGAGACAGTCCGCCCGTCTACATGGATGCTTCCTTACGCCTAAAGTACAGCATTGACTTATGACTTACTAATCGTCCGGTGCTGTTATCGGCTGCTCGGTACCGCGTGTATGTTCCCTAATTCACTCCTGGTCACCCTTCGGTCACCCCTCGCTGGGTCGGGCCAGTCGGCTATTTTTATCCTCTTTCCGGCTAGGCCACCCGCTGATCTCCCGCCGTGCCGCGCCGTCTGCGAGGGACCTGACCCTTCTGCCGGCAGAGGTTTCTCCAGGTGTCTCCAAGGAGCCATCGTAGCGCTAAGGGTGTGCTCCGCATACACATACATTGATTTTCGCCCTTACTAGCAGGGCCGCTGGCACGCGTTGGCGGCGCCCTGCGGGCATTTTTTCGCTTAGGGTCATTTTGTGGTGAGGAGGATCAGAAAATCACCCTTCCAACTTTCTCCAGGCCTGGGTGTTTTATCGAGCGCGCCTGAAAACGCACAGTGGAGCGAAATCACACTTCGATTGCGTTACTTCGTATTAGGTAATACGATAAAAAGTCCGCTCTTTTCTCAATCAATAAGGACAAGTGCGTTAAAGCACATATATAAACTTTTAAATTAAAAGCTTTAAAATGCTAAATTTCAACATCTCTAAGCTGATGATAATCGTTAGTTGTTTCAGACTTTAGCGCGAAAACGTAGACATTCAGATCCACCGTGCGACCGGTCACCGTATGCAGTAGTGTGATGGTGTGAGTTGGGGAATCAAGGCCGTATGGGGAGAATGTGAGGAGATACCGGTGTGCCGACGCGGCGGATGGCAGTTAATTTTCAGGATAGGTAGCGAAAGGCTCATTCCCAGACGTTGTGCCAAATTTTGCGGCGCTACAACACGACGCCAACTTTTACGCTATTCGCGAAAAAAAAACTTAGGAAGGCTGCCCCCCCCCCCCCCCGCCAGGCGAGGGCTAAGTTGGAGACAGTGATGGGACTAAGATGTTCGTTGGAGCAAGTCCAAGCATTTTATCGACCTCTGTCTGTTGAGCGCCCACGGAATTGTTGGGCTTGGTTTGTCACAGTTGACCCTGCCATTCTATCTGCTCAGCCGCTAAGAGGGACGCGCATCTGTGTGGAGATGGTTTGCTATAGCTGACTTCATACGGACAGCGGATCTTTGAGCCAAAATTCAACCCAACCAATTTCCGGATTAATCATTCCATTTCGCGAACCCGTCCTAGACAAACATCAATCAATGCATTGACAATGCGGCCGTTGATGTGTTGATTTGTGACAGCCAACACAAAAGCTTGCTGAGTGATGTAGGTATATACAATTAGATATACCTATATTGAGTAGAAAAAACATACAGCACATGGGTGGACGCGTTTCGTCAGAGACTTTTTCAACGCCCGAATATCGACAAAACAATACGAACACACAAGAACAAAGCTTTGTTCTTGTGTGTTCGTATTGTTTTGTCGATATTCGGGCGTTGAAAAAGTCTCTGACGAAACGCGTCCACCCATGTGCTGGATGTTTTTTCTACTCAATATATACAAAAGCTTGCATTGCCAATGCATTGAATATTACCCGCGATCCCTCTGGATAGGACGCGTATAAAGCCGGCGCAGCCGGATTCTAGGGAAGATTTTCCTGGGTAGATGCTGAGCTTCTCTTGGGTTGTTAGTAGCGGCTGAACACCTTCAATTAAGGGGGGGGGGGGCACTACCGACTTTTGGTCCCATTCTTTCCATGCAACGCCCATAGGGCTAATGTTAAAATGCCAAAATCAAAGGGGGGCACGGTGCCCCGGTGCCCTCCCCGTTCCGCCGCCTATGGTTGTTAGTACCTAATTGGTGTATTAGAAGTGCCTATACTGATATACCTTCGACGCCGCGGTTTGTAGCTTGATACTTGATCCGTCCATATTGACCGGGCAGGTCAATACACAATCCAGTGAAGCTGAAGGTGATACTTCATTTCTATTTGAGCCATCCGGAGCAGTGGCGGATCCAGGGGGGGGGGGGCAAAATGGGCATTTGCCCCCCCCCAAACGGCATAATTTTAACATTACACCTATGGACGATGCATGGAAAGAATCGATAAATTGTTATGGTTTGCCCCCCCCCCCCAAAAAAAAACTCTGAGCTAGATCCGCCTCTGATCCGGAGATCGGTTTGAGATTTTAGCACTTGCTGAGCCCAAATTGTCACGTTGTTCTTTCAAGGTCAACATTAGTTCTTTCTTATAAGTTATATCCAACTTAACTGATAGCCATGAGCCAGAACGGTCTCCCTCCACAAAAAACTTATATTTGTATTTATAATTTATTCTGTACTGGCAGGGCATATTTTAAGGATTTTTCACTGCGTCCCAAAGGTGGCATAGGGCACATGCTTTGATCGGAAAGGGCACTTTGCAAGCGAAATAGTATATAACTAGGGTGACCCGCGTGCTCCGCAACGCGAAGAAGGGTTATTTTTGACCCGTGGGTATTGGGTTGGTCTGTGTCGATTTGGTTGATATCCATTTCGTTCGATTGCTTTTGACGGCCAAGCATTTTGTAATAAAACAAAAAAGATACATCGCATCGAGGTGGCCGTGTCGTATTATCATGCGTTCTACTTTAGAATGATTCGAAAACTGGCGTGGAGTCTTTTGAGGGCCATCGATGAATTTCGCTAAAAATGACAATGTAATGGTGTGGAACATTTACATTTTAAAGAATATTGTTGCTTGTCATGCAAAAATGATGGGTGTATCTTAGACAAAATTGAATGCTCTTTCTAACGGTACCAGTTTCAATCATGCAGCAAAACCCGTGTAATTAATAAAGTGGCACATCATCGACAAACACCATTTTCTCCATCGAATTGTACCACCTTGTCGTCGATCAATTAGCTATTCACAATTTTCCCATGAGAGGCGGTACATTTCTCTTGCCAACAGGCGTTGTTCCAACTCGCTCCGTTTAACGGTCACCTAAAAATAAAATAAATTCCAAAATCTGTCACAAACCACAATGTTTCCAATAAAAGTATCCTCACGGGTGCACGTGGCACGTGCCATCCTCTGCATCGTACACTATTCGACAGCCCGCTCAATTATCTACACGATGCTGCTGTCCCCGTGCCGTTCTGGCGCCCGGTTACCGAGATATGGCACCGGGACCGGACCCGTGTCGGCCAAAAATAGCCGTTTTCGCCCGATTTCGCACGCCGATTTATACATGTAAAGTCTATGACGCGAATTTTCACTTTTTGAGCACACGCCACGCGCTCCCTATCAATCCGAGCGAGCCCAGACCCCTCAAAGGCCCGTCGCGCATCCTTGATCTATAAGTTGTGCAAATTTCACTGGGCTAGGTGCAACGGTCTGGCCTGTAGTCCACGCAAAGCACCACCAAGTCGGGACCTCGACCACAGACAGACGCACCTATAAGTAAAGTAATCTTGAGACGCACCCACCACAAAAAGTAATATCGATGCAAGTGAGATAATGTACAGATACATGTGTCATTGTGTAGGGTAGAGTGGGGCAAAGCGCTCAGGGCGGGTAAAACGCCCACCCCTCTTATTTATGAAATACTCGACTTTTTAAAGAATCCTTGATAGCCACTTTCAAGAACACGCAGGAATCTGCTTTTGCTCCCTTTTTTGGTTCCACAAGTGGGGTTTTCTGGATATAAAATACAGATTGGTATATTGCTGATGTTTTCTAGAAATTAAAAGCTTTCTTAGTGCCAAAACTTTGTCTGATAGAGATTGAAGAAGGCAATAAAATTTTGTTATGTTGAATCTGCAGATTTAAGCTATGCTTTGAGCATTTATTTGCTTGCAACACAATTGTGACAGGCTTAATTTTGGCAAATTTTGTTTTGAATGTGCTGTTGGGGTAATACGAACACTTTGGTGTGGGGCAAAGCGCCCATCATGGGCCAATGGGAGTTATACAGCACGGATTATTGCGAGCATTTTGGGCTCAAAGTGAGTGGCGGGATATGTTTCTATTGCTCAGAATTCTTATAAAATATGCAATTTTCTGGTTAGGATTGTCTAGAACGATTTATTCGCGAGATCTGATCTTTGCTCACCAGGGCAGTGACAGGCGTTGAATGAGGACTGGGGTGGCGACAGCAGTGTTTAAGGTGTTTTTAATAATGCAATCTGTCGAGTTGAGGTCTAATGAAATGAGGAATGGATGAATACTACATTATTTTGTCAGAGTATCAAAATTGTTATAAGACATTCAGGACTAGGCGTTATGCCCCGCTCATATGGGCGTTATGCCCCACGGGTGGGGCCAAACGCCCGATCTGTAGTCCTCTCAAATCGGACGGCATATCTCAAATAGGTACTATGCATGCCACAAGTTTCTGATGTGTTATTTGAAGAAAGCTAAGGTAATGAGCTACCAGATCAGCTACCTGGTTGTTCTTCAAATTTGTAAGATAAGGAGATACTAAGGCGAAAAGTTAGGGTGGGCCCTTTGCCCACCCTACCCTACTGTGCTGGTGGAGGGGCAGCAAGCGGGATATTGGGAGCGGGCTGTGATTGCTTTTGGCCAGTCTCGAAATTCGCCCAGTCGTGGCGCGTTCTTTATCCGCATTCAAAGGACGGACCGGCGAGCGCTGTTAGTCACTCGTTTTCCTGAACGGCGTTGAGCGTGTTCGACCTCCCTTGACGCACCAAGTTGTACCTATTTTTTA